AATTCAAGGGGGGGGGGGTACTCGGGGACAAAAATACCCCGAGGGGGGGGGGCGCGTCGGGGTGTCGGGGTAACGACCGGTCGTGACTCGTCGTGCTCGGTCGATGCGCGCGCGGGGCTTTTGAATGACACCACGGGTATGTATTTACGCACACCGCGCGCGGGGCTTTTGAATGAAACCACGGGTATTTACCCACACCGCGCGCGTCGACGCGACGGCGACGCGGTCGATTGGTCCGCGATCGGTCGTGATGAGACTCGAGGGCGTGGTGTGTCTTTTAAAATCCCCGACGCCCGCGCGCGTCGCCGAGGCGACCGCGACGACGACCGCATTGCTCGGCGCCGGTCGAGGGCGATGGCGTCGAAGATCGTGGCGAATCTCCTCGTCGCCGGCGTCGGTGCGTTCGCGCGCGCGGCGGCGCGGGCGTATCGACAAGCGCTCGTGAACGCCCAGCGCACCGGGGTCGCGCGTGAGGCCGGGGAAGGGGTGACGGCGCGCGCGGTGTTCGGGCGACGGGCGATGGATGCGGTGGAGGCGCGGGAGATTCTGGGCGTGGACGCGTCGGCGTCGTACGCGCGCGTGCGCGAACGCTTCGACGCGTTGTTCGAACGGAACGCGCGGAGTGGGACGTTTTATTTGCAGAGTAAGGTGTTTCGCGCGCGGGAGCGGTTGATGGGGGAGTACGACGCGGAGGAGGTGAAGATTGTGGACGCGGAGGCGGAGGCGGCGAAGGCGAAGGCGGAGGCGGAGGCGGAGGCGGCGAAGGCAGAGGCGGAGGCGGGCGACGACGCGGCGCGCGAGGGCGGTAGGGGAGGCGGACGGGGGTAGAACGCGTTCGTTGAAATGCTTTGTAGAGATGACGGGGAGAATCGTTAGCCATCACGGGCTGTCCCGACGAGGGCGACGCGGAACGAGGCGGCGCACGACGCGGCGACGCGCGCGACGGCGTCGTTCAACTCTTCGTCGTCGGAGCCGTACCACGCGACGGTATCGTTTCCGAGCGCGGTAAACTTGCTCTCGAGTGACTCGCCGTCGATGAACGCCGCGGTCGCGCGCTCGAAAGCGTCGAGACGCTCGGTGGTGTCGTCGGCTGCGTACGGGTCGACGCCGGAGAGGACGTTCGCGAGACGCGTCGCGAGCGCGTACGAACGCGCGTGATACGCGACCGCGAAGGATCCTCGGGCGAGCGCGCGCGTGATGTCTCCCGCGCGCAACATCTCGAGCGATCGCTCGCAAAATGTATCGCACGCTCTTCGCAAAGCCGCTCGACTGGCGTCGTCGACGTGTATCGCCAAATCGACGAGGGCAAACTCGACGTCTCGCGCCAGCGCCGCCTGGGAGCCGTCTCGCTCGCTCGACGCGGCGCCGGCGGCGCTTTTGAGCTGATTCAACAGCGATTTGCATCTCTCGATCTCCCCGGCCGCTACCGTGGGGTCATCTTTGTGGCGGTGCCTCGCACAGAGAGCGTTGAGCAACAGCGAACGGCGGCGCCGAGTGGCTCGCGCGCCGCGGTAGTACCACGAGTACGCGTCCTCGTCCGATCCATGACTCGTCTCGATCGAGTTTGTCCACCAAATTTCTCCCGTGAACGCTGGGTCTTCGGCACACGGGGCCATCCACGGCGGGTTCGTTTTGAAATCGTCTACGTACGTCGCCGCGTCAAACTTGGCGTCGTCTTCGTTCCATCCCGCGCGGTCCGGCGACACGTCGACCAAGCTTCCGGTGTTCATCGCGTATCCCTCGAGAGCTTGGACGATGGCGTCATATTGCGCGTCAAACTCTTCCGCGCGTCGTACGCATCGATGCATTCTGTTTGTGATTAGGTTCCAGGACACGAGCGCCTCGCCGGATTGAATGGAGTGCGCTCGCGCGAGCGTGCGATGGAACTCCGCAAACTCGAGAATTTTTGTAAACTTGGCATTCATGCCAGCCTGAACCGCCATCTCCGCGATGTGTTCATCGATTTCCCATCGTAAATAGTCGAGTCGCTCGAAGACTTGAAGCGACTTCGTGTGCCCACCCGCCGCGCACGCGGGCAGCGCGTGGTGCAAAAGCGTGGCCATCTGCACGTGCTTCATGTCCACCTTGCCGAGAACTTCGAGCGCCTTTTCGGCGGCGCCAAGAATCGTGTAGATCGCAGCGAGAGAAAAACTGAGCGTAGAGTGGTGTGGCGATTTCTGCAGACCAATCTCCAGAACGGCGGCTGCGGCGAGAAGCGCCTTTACCGCGGCTTCGTCGTCCGATCCCTTCTTCAAAGCTGCCTCGTTGACGAGGCAAAGAGACGCCAAATACGGATACGCGTCCACAGGCGTTTGCTCCCGCGCGTCGACGTTCGACACGATCTTTCTGTGGTCAAAATATTCCTTCATGAAGCCCTTAGCCACGTGCATGTCAGCCGTTGGCAGCGACGAGGTCTTACCGCCATGCCACCTGGGGCAGAACGCGTTCAAGTCGGCGCAAATCAACAACGCCGACGTCTTCTTACGCAGTACGTCGAGCGCTCGCTTCTTGGAATCTTCGTCATCTTCGGCGAGCGCCGGAACTTCGACCGAACTACGGTCTATGAGCGTCGAAATGAGCTTGTCGCGAGCGCCACTCGAGCAGTGCGCGAGCGCTTGTGCATATCGCCTCATGTCCTGCGCGCAGCTATTCCAGCTACTAAATCGGTCGTGATAGTTCGCGACCTCGTCTGCGAGCGCCATCTCTCGTGCCTCGGTTCGTTCAGCGTCCACGAGTCTACACAAGAGCTCAGCTCTCAAGATGTAAGCTCCGCGTCCGATGGCTCGCGCGCCTCCCTTGGCCTCGGCGTTCGCAACGATGCCGTCCACGAAGGCCGAAGCCGAGGCTTCATCGATGGGCTGCCCCTTCTTTCGAATCGTCGGAAAGTATGATGCTCGATCGTCACCCTCGAATCCCGAGGTGGTGACTTTCATCTTTCCTATCTCCTCGCACATCTTAGCCAACTCTGAGCTGTCTCGGCACAAATCTAATATCGCGTTCATGGACGCCCAATCGTCCGGTGCGAGCTCGAGTACGTTCTCGTGGTGCTTTCGAGCCTCCACGTGCTTCCCCGCCTTCAACGCATACATGGCACGCATGCGCTCGCGATCGATTGACATCGGCACGCACAAAACCGCGAGCTCAGAGAGCGTAAACTCGTACGCCTCTTCGCATCGTCCAAGCCCCGCGAGCGCGCTCGCGTACATCACGAACGAGTCTCGATCCTTCAACTCACCCTTCGCGTGGATCTTACTCATCATGCCATGCGCCAACTTCAACAAACCATCGGGTCCCATCCCCGTAGACGTGCTCTCGCTCGCGCGGTGCCTCGGCGCAGCCTCCGCCTCGTCGCGCTGCGCCAGCATTGCCGCCACGGCTCGCATTAAATCCTTCGAATCCCCCGTCACCTTGTACCGCCGCATCACCGCGCTCTGCTGCTTCGCAAACGCCCACGCTTTCCCGTGTAACACGTACAGAGTGTTAAAAGACTCCAATCGCGTCGGATTACTCCTCAACACGCTCTCCGTGAGCTCAACCATGTCATCCGTCGCGCCGAGCTCGTCGAACGCCATGGTGACCACTCGCAAGACGTCCTCGTCCACGACGCCATCGTCGCGAACGTCCCGAGCGATCTTTAAGACTTCATCGCGCGCGTTCAAACCCTCCGATCGCCACAGCGCGATCGCGCGAAGCGCTTGGGCGAGCTGCCAGTGAGGGTACTTTTTTAGCGCGCGGTCGAGCGCCTTTAAAGCGCGCTCGCCGTCGCCCTTATCTAAGTAATCGTACGCCGCACCGAGCTCTTTGTTTGTGACGTCTCGGGGGTACGATTTGGCGTCGGGCGGGGGTGGTGGGGGTTTCTTGGGAGGCATGTAGAACGAGCAGCCTGACGCACACTGCGGTCGAGGCGGCGGCTACCGCGGAAGATGCGGTCGCTCGAGCGCGGTAGAAGCGGGATTCGAAGCGCGACGGCGACCGATCAATGTCCTATGAAGAATTGTGGTAAATTACTGCTCGCGCTCGCCGAACATGCTGTCGATCCTTTCGGAAAACTTTGAGCCAAAGTTGCGAACGTTGAAGCCAGATTCCGCCGACGGTTCGTCCATCTGCACTTCCTCGTAAATATCCACCTCTACTGCCTCGCCGCGCTTGAAAAAACTATTGAATCCATCCGAGAGTTTGGAGCCGACATCGGTGAGATCTACACGCGCGGGCGGCGGGAGCGGCCCTTTGCGTCCGGGTTGCTCGCTGATGGTGCGCTCAAGCTTGTCCACGCCGTAACTCGCCAAGGTCTCCGTGGCCACCATGCCAAGGTTCTTGCGCGCCGTCTCTAAATCTTCCGGATCACCATCTTCCTCGAAATCTCTGAGCTGTGCTTCGGTGAATCCGCCGTCGGCTCTCGTGCCACTTCGAGCGACACGGAAAAGCAACCACCTGCCCAATTTATTATCCGTCTCCTCTGCGTCCTCATCTGGGAGAGGAAATAATTTCTCAGCCACGACGAGAAGTGTACTCTTGCCTCGCACAAACGGGCTAAAACGCGCGCCGATCGCTGACGGGCGTCGCTCGCTCGTCGACATGAGCGCCTTAACCAGACGCCAACCGGCACGATCGTTCAAGTCAAGGATCTGAAAGCCCTCCATCACCTCGGACCTTTGCTTAACTCGGTCCGGAAGGCTATTTCTCCACTCGACAATATCGTCATCTTTCGCGTCTAGTTGCTCGCGAAACTTGATGATGTCGTCATCTTTTCTCAAGTTTGGCAGGGCCATCTGCAACAGCACGACCCCCATGCTATACATGTCAAATCGATCTGGAAGGTTGAGCTGCCACAGTACAGGGGAGAGCGCTAGCGCTAAGGGAAGCGGCGGCGCTTCGGGGGTTTGCTTACTCATGATGTACTCTTCCGGTGCCTTGAACCGTGGATCGAAGATGAAGTCCTTCGGAGAATAGTTGACCCCCGAACGCAAATCCGCGGCGGCACCCAGATCGATGAAACGGAACACGCCCACCTTTTCGTCGAAAAGAATGTTCTCAGGCTTCACATCTCGGTGAACGATGCCCGTGCCGTGTAATCGAGAGAGCGCTAAGAGGATTTGATCCATTATCTTCGCGATGATGACGGCTTTGCGCTTTGGGCCCTCCGGTAACCCTCCGGGCGCGACGCCGTCTTTAAATATGTACGGCTCGATGTTGTACGGGAAGCTCTTTTCCTGCATGAGCTGAAACAACGTTTTTTTCCCTTCAAACTTCCAAGCGAGCCAGAGCGAGGGTTCCTCGCCCTTCTTCACCGGCGGTCCCTCGAAAGCGGAGACGAAAGCCGCGCACGCCCCTGGGCAGGCAATCTGCAGACGCTCGTTCATCCAAATCTCCGCCTCGCCGTAATCTGTCGCTCGCTTGAGCACGTATTTCTCTCCATCCTTGTACGTCGCCTCGTAAACGATCCCAAAACCACCCTCACCGAGCTTCTTTCCGAGCTTGAAGTCGTCCAACGAGAACCGCTTGCGTAACGTATCCTTCAGCGGCCGCAACGCGAAGAAATCGATGAAACCCGGGATCACCCCCGGCGTGGACGTCCCGTACAGCGTCAACGCGGCCAAAATCGATCCCCCGATCGGCGTCACCAACGGCGCGATCTCCCTACGAAGCTCGGCGTCCAGCGTGCTCCGATAAATCTGGTCGCCGCAGTTTTGCACCGTGCACGGTAACCCCACGCCCACGGCAACGTCCCCGATCGCTCGCATCGCCTCGTGCGGGTCCACGACGCGCGCGACGACCGAGACGCGTCTCTCGATCGCCTCCCGTCGCCGCGCGCGCGCGTCCGCGCCCACACGCGCGTCGCTCGAACACTTCCCCACGCTCGGGCCCGCACACGCCGCGCGCCCGTGACGTCGCGTCGACGACGCGTGCATCGCCGAAATAGCGCGCATGGCGCGCGCGCGCGTCTTCTCGCTCGCTCGCTCCTTCGCGCGTCCGCGCCGCGCCGCGGTGCGCCGTCGACCGCGCGATCGATGACGTGGATAACGACGTGGTCGAGACGAGCGTGACGCCACCACTTTGATGGGGTCTTCATCGGATCACAGCCCGTCACGCTCGGCGTGCGTGTAAACACACCGACGCCGACGCGTCGACGCGTCCCGCGCGTTGACGTCGGACGCGCGCGCGCGCGGGCGAGGGCGCGCGCGCATGCGCGCGTTCTGGAGACGGTTTCGCGACGAGGCGCGATCGAGCGCGACGTCGGTGCGTCGAGCGCGCGGGTGGCGTTGACGCGAGCGACCGTTTCGCGCGAGCGACCGTTTCGCGCGAGAGACTGACTGATGCGCGCGCGCGCGGACGCAGATCGCTCGCGTCGCCGTGGTCGTCACCGCGGTGAAGACGTACGTGGCGGATCTCACGCTGTGCGTCGGGCCGAGCATGATGCCGACGTTTAACCCGATCGGGGACGTGGTGGTGGTGGAGCGAGCGAGCGCGCTCGCGGGACGGCCCACGCGACGCGGGGACGTCGTGCTCGCGACGTCGCCGACGAATCCCGAGCAGTTGGTGTTTAAGCGCGCGGTGGGGCTGGGTGGAGACGTGATCGACGTTCCGGTGTCGAGGGGGAGGAATTTCAGAATGACGACGCGGCGCGTGCGCGTGCCGCTGGGAAGCGTGTGGTTACAGGGTGATAACGCCCGAAATAGCACCGACAGTCGCGATTACGGACCGGTTCCAGAGACCATGTTGCGAGGTCGAGCTTTTGTTCGAATCTGGCCCATCTCGGGGTTTGGATTCGTCGAGAACTCGATGCGAGACGTCGTACTGGTGTCCTCGCGAACGGAGTAGCTCGTCGACGCCACTCCATTCTCGGTACGACCGCCTCCGATCGCTTCACCGTCGTAGATTAGCTCAATTTTCGTAGTTTATCGGTAGTCCTTAGTGTTCGAATCGAATCGCCCGCGCGCAAGGCCCCTCGAACGACGCTCCCTCGATCCGCCTCGCGAGTGCAAGGCTCTGACACGGAATTTCCCGCGAAAATCGACTACATGTTCAAATTTGAACTACCGCGCTCCCCATCCGTCCGCGCACGTCGGCCCGATGGAGCGTCCGACGTCCACGATCGGCGCCCTTGGAGGTATTAATGACCCGGTGCCGTGTGCGCTGAGCCGCGATGCGCACGGGACGTCGATCGCGTCGACGCCCGCGACGTTTTTTGCGCCCTTCGTCGCCCGAGGATGGCGCTTCGTCGGCGATGCGACGCGCACGACGACGTACGGCTCGCTCACGATGGTGACGCCCGGGAACGATAACTTGATCGAGGGTAAGAGCGCGCCGTTCATGTCGAGCGATGTCTCGTTCGCTTCGGAGGCGATGACGGCGGAGGCGCGACGGACGCTTCGCGCGTGCGGGTTGCTCGTTTCAAAGGACTTTGCGCCGGCGGAGCAGCCGAGGCCGGGGAAAGCGACGCCGCCGCGGACGAGCCTAAGAGACCATATCGCAGAGCATTTAAAGTGCATGGTGAGCGCGATGGTGGCGCTTAGGGTGTGCGCAACAGTGTACAGGCACAAGCGGTGGGCGTTTGAGTGCTTTCGGGAAATGTATCGTAAGAGCAGAGAGCTTAAGCGTAGGCTTCGGAACTCTAAGAAGAGTGCGCTCGGGAACGACGCGTGTGAATCGCTCAAGAAACTCTTGCACGCGTTCGATGTGATGATGGAGCGGCTGTGCGACCCGAGTGGACGGATTCGAGGGGAGTTTTACGACGGAATGGTGACGTGTCCGTGGGATGTTGATTACGAGTGGCAAAAGAATGCAGCTTTTTACGAGGAGATGTTCGCCGTACCGTACGCCGATAAGGACGACCGAGACATTACTCACTCGTGTGAGGTACGGAACGAGAGCTGGGAGGCGCACGAGCCGGCTAATCAACACGTAGATCCCGTGGCGACAGGCGCCAAGCCGGTTTTAGCCTCTCGAAGGCTGTCAGTAGGCTCTACGGCCTCCGCGGATACTGACGACGACGGCGTCATGGATGGGAAGCGCAAGTATTCAGAAATGTCGAGCGACCGAGAAGTCGCGGCGAAATGCCGGATGAAACCAAAATTACGCGAAATTTCATGTTCGGTTGCTTTGGCGATGGCGGCCGAGATTGACATCGTCGCCGCTGCCGCGGCGCACTTTTTTGTCACGTGCAATTTGTGCAAGGACGGTCCCAGCTTCCACGAGTACCTTACCAACGTGACCTCGGCGTACGGATTACCGTTCGCGAAAAAAATGAAGTCGGCGCTGCAGACCTTGGTTGTACCGCACATTGGCGAGGAACGGTTCCCAGATGACGTCTCCTTTCATTACACAATGCTCGTCGAACGTTATGCCACCGCTTCCAGTGCTCAGAAGCTTTTGCCTCTCGTAGCGGCCGATCCTAACCCTTCATTACACATCGTGATGATGCAACACGTCGAGGGTGCGTACATCATGTCCAGAGATGGTCCAGATGACGAGATCGACGCACGATTTAACCGTCTCATGCGTGATTACTCCTTGCGAGTTGCGGCTTCGCATCACCAGCGCATGGGCTTCCAGGGGCACAGCGGAGTAGGAACTCGATCGCCGCTCCCGAGTTTGATTCGAAAGTGGATGGATACGTGCTATGATTCCGTGGCGCGCCTATACTCTCCGGCCGTACCGAGTTATCAGGCGATGTACGCGCTCTACGAAGCTTCACCAGAAGGTTGGATTGAGATCAGCAGCGGAGGTACGGGTTATTGGACGTCAGTTCTGACGACATGTAAAATACCCGCTCAAGCCGTCAACGTGACGAGGCAACGTGATGATAAAACGACGTTTACACCGATGCCGTCGACATCGGAACCGTTCGTAGCTATTCATGACGATGTACCAGATGTGTGTGCGGAGTTCAAAAACTTTGGATTGCTAATCAACTGCTTGCCTCGAGATGGAGATCTAGCGATCGAGTGCGTTCGCAACTTTACTGGTACGAACATTGCACTTATCGGTGAATGGCAAGGCTCAACCGCGGGATCGCGCTTCTTGCGTCGGCTCGCGAAGGGATTTGAATTCATCCAGGCGTATCCGCTTGGCGCCGTCGGCGACAGGTTGTTCGAGTTGAGCATTTGGAGACGTCGAGCCAAGCGCTTGTCGAAGAAGTTTCGGAAGGAGAAAAATCTATCGACCAACCATACATTCCCCTCAGTGAAGAGGTGTCACGTCGCTGGATGCTGTTCGACGTCGCATACTCTTTTCTGCTGTGCGCTCTGCCGCGCCGTATTTGTTTGCCCCAACCACTTGTGCTCACTTCACGACGAGTGGGATCTAGAGCACGCCAAGGTGCATGAAGATAGGCTCTTACCAACGATCGATCGTATGCGCTCATATGACGTCGAGCTCGAGAAAACGAACGAGTATAAGCTCATGCGAAGCGAGACGATCATGGCTTTCAACCCATACCGGTATGGAGCGGAGACGTGGACAGTCGATTACCGTGCGAGGTTGAACGACACATACGAAATCGCGCGCCTAGGCGTTCCTAGAATCGAACCGGTGCCAGATTGGCGATGATTTGACGATGAGAATGCATAAATGATAGCCGCCCTAATGGCGAAATCTAGTGTGAAAGAATCAATTAAATATGCCACTCCGTCTACTTTGCCTTTTTTTCCGGAACGTTCAACAGATCCTTAAGGATTTCATACGAAACGAAACGAATAGAGTTCTGCGGGACAACCTTGAGGGAGTTCGCGACCCAGCCTCGGAAGAAACCACGCACACCCTCATTCTTGGCGATCTGCGTCAACGCGTCGAGCATCCCGTCGTACGTCTTGCCTTTCATCTGCATGCGACGGCGAATCGTGTCCAGCGGGTAACACACCGTGGCGGAAAACGTACCCGAGGCGGCACCAACGAGAAGATTAGACATTCTATCCTCCTTGCCATTCTCGCCGTAGTACATTTTCTTCGCCATGTCATACGAGGCAAAGTTGGTGGCAGCGTACGGCGCGATGCCCGCGAGTGTCGGCCCGAGCCCCTTGTACAGCGCGCGCACGCCCTCCGTTCTGTAAACCTTACCAAAGCAGTCCATCATCCCTTTATACTCATGATTCGGTAGCGCTAATCTCAAACGAACGGTATCCAACGGATGCGTCAACGCCGTCCCCGTCATCCCCGCCAACGCGCCAGCCGCCAGCCGCTGCGGCACCCCGAGCCTCCCGTCCTCGTCCGCCAGGAGCGCCTTGTAATAATCGTTCGACGCCAACTGCGCCGCCGCGTACGGCGCCACACGAATCACATTCACACCGTTCCCCTTCCAAAAGCTCAAGATCCCTTCCTCGGTGTAAATCTTATAAAACGCCTGTCCGACCCCGGTGTACGCCGTGGCGCTCGTCCCGCTCGACGCCATCGCTTGCACCTGGAACAAGAGTTTGATTCTATCGAGCGGCGCGCTCGCCGTGCGCGCGATGATCCCAGCCCCACCCCCGGCGGCGACCGAACGCGAGCCATCGATCACGGTGTACAGCTGCGTCATGATTCCACCGTCGCGCGTCGCCGACGGGGACGCCGCGACCGGCGCCGCCGCCGAGCGATCGAGATCCGCGCCCATCCTTCGTTTCGCGTCGACGCGCCGTCGTCTATCGCCGCGAGCGCGCGCGTACGCGAGCGAAAGACGCGCGACGGTTCTATCGTCCACCGCGGGACGTCCAGACGCGACGACGACGACGACGACGACGACGACGACGACGCGCGTGCGACTGGCGACTTATCCGAAAAAGTGCATCGCGCGTTGGTCCCGCATCGCGCGACGCTCGGCGCGGCATGTCGCGCGCGCCGAGCGCGCCGACGATGGGTCGACTCGGATGGTTCGTCGCGCTGGCGCTGGCGCTCGCGCACCTCGCGCGCGGGCGCGCGGGCGGGACGAGGCGGACGAGGAACGCGCCGGGCGCGTTCGTGTTGCACGTCGAGCTGGAGTTTACGAATGAAAACGCGGCGAAGACGCTGGTGGATGCGTGGAGCGAGTGCGCGGATTGGTGTCGAACGCGGGAGAAAACGCTGTGGCACTACGAGATCTCCCAGAGCGACGTGGATGGGTTGAAATACTCGATACACGAGCGGTACAGATCGAAGGAGGATTACGCGGGGGCGCACAAGTCGACGGCGGCGTACAAGGCGTTTCGGCCAAAGCTCAGAGCGTTGCAGGATAGCGGTGAGGTCAAGGTTACGGGTTCGTCGTACGTCGAGCTTGGACGAGGATTTGTGTAGAGGTCTATTCGTGCCGCGGCGTCACGGGCTGGAGCGAGAGAACTGTAAACGCGGCATGGTTGTAAAATATCGCATTGACGTTAACAGAAGGGCAAACGCGTGTTCGCAGAGCTTCGCACGATGGAGCTGGCGATCGGAATCGCATCGCACGCCACTCCCGGGGTGTTGAACGTGACCGCGAACGCGCTCTGGTGGTTCCCGACGAGCGGAGACGAGGACCAGACGTCGGTCCAACTGAGTCTTGATGCGTCCACATTTAGATCCGCGGGCAACCCGTATACGCGGTGCTGACGATTGATCTCCAAAGAGTGCTCGGGATTCGCCGCCCCGACGCGATCGAACGTGATGTAATCTCCGGGGAGGAAGGAGTGCGAACCGTCGACGGTGATGACGGCTTGACGCGAGTTTTCGCCAAAGCACTCCACTGCGGAGACGACGTATCGCTTGTTGCACTCCTGAACTTCTTCCTCGACCTCGTACTTGCGCAGAGGGAACCCGTTCCTCGACTTACTCTTCCGTCGCTGCATGTTATTCATCCCTGCCGCCCTCCAGTAGCCGCCAACCCTGACGACGCGACCGTTCGGAGATGGTTCCATCGGCACACTTCCAGACACCTTTCGCCGAAGTCCCTCCGGCATGTCGTCCCATGTGAGCCAACGTACGTTGCTGGCGTCTATCACAGATAGCAGCGTGCGCCGGGTTTTGGGTGCCGTGAGAACGTTGGGAATCGCCTTCAGAGCCTCTTCCAGGCGAACGTCGGGCGGTTTTGACAGCGCCGCCGAGGGCGCGGTAGCCATCGGCTCAACCTTCACAGGCTCGGGCTCGGTCTTCACGGCCTCTGGTTCGACCGCCGTGGGCGCCGGTACGGCCTCAATATCTACTCCTAGTTCTATCAACAGCTTTTTCCTCTGTTCAATCGCTCGCTCGTCCTCACTATCGTCCTCGTTCTCGTCATATTCTAACGCTCGCAGCTCGGTTAACGCGTCCTCGTCTTCAACCATCGGTGCCATTGCGTCCGTACTTACGTCTTCGACCCCCTCACCACTCGAACTACCGCCATCATCATCCACATCATCCTCGTCTTCTCCATCGACGTCCAATCCGAACTTACTCGCCTCGACGAACAAGTCGCGCATGAGCGCGCGCGCCTCCGTCCCCCCCAACGCGACCAAATCCGCGAGCACCGACCCCTTCGACGTCTCTTCACCCCCGTCATCGCTCAACGCCTCACTGAATACCATCGCCGATCCCTCATCCACGTCCTCGTCCGCCTCCGCCGCCACGTCACCGCGCAAAGCCGTCTCCATCGAAGTCCCAGTCTCGACCGTTGTCATCCCGTCGTCGTCCCTTTCCCCGTCATCCGCATCGTTCGCGAACACGTCGTCGTCGAACAACCCATCGAACCCATCGTCGCCCTCGTCGTCGTCGTCGTCGTTCCATCGTTCACGCGCGCTCGCGCGCGTCGTCGTCGTCGTCACCAACGTCGTCAGCGCGCGCGCGACGACCACCACCCCGCGCGTCGTCGTCCTCGCCGTCCTCGCCCGTCCTCCCTCGACCGGGCGCGCGAGCGCGAGCGCGAGCGCGAGCGCGAGCGCGACGCACGCGCGCGCGCGCGCGCGTCCACGGGCGCGCCGCGCCATCGCGCGCGCGGCCGCGCCAACGATCGCCCCCGCGGCTCGACGCGCCCTTTCGACATTTTTCGATGCGTCGCGCGCGCCCTTTCGACACCTTTCGATGGTCGTCCCGCGTCACCTTTCGACGCACCTCTCAGAGCACGCGTCGACGGTGTTCCGCGAACGCGCGCGAACTACCGCGCGACGCCGCGCCGACCCGCGTGGGCGTCGCGCGCGCGGCGTCGAGGCGTCGACGCGACGGCGCGGTCGACCGCGACGCTCGGGTCGTCCGGGACGAGGGCGCGCGCGCGGACGATGGCGCACGCGCTCGTCGTGGACGTCGACGACGCGGAATCCTGGCGCGGGGCGCTGGAGAAGATTGAAGAGCACTACGAGACGCTCGCACCGAGCGCGCTGGGGACGTGGAGCGACGCGCACACGATCGCGGTGGCGGCGACGGGTGGGGTGGGGCGCCTGGAGCGGCACGGGCGGGCGCTGCTCGAGCATCTCCGAGAGCGGTTCGGCGTCATCGTGGACGTGGATGAGAACGAAGATCGGGTGGTGATCAATCACGAGATACGGGACGTCGTGATCGAGGTGGCGAGGATCTTACACCTGCAGATGGAGCAAACGCGAATGATGGAACAGAGGGCCGCGACGACGAGCGCGGAGCGGACGCCGGCGCCGGCGGCACAGTCGCCATTTTCCCCCGTCGACGGCGTGAGCGAGGACGCGATGATGCGGGAAGTTTTAGGGAAATTTGGTAACGAGGAGATCGGCAACGTGTGCGAGAGGCTGGAGGGGAGACGGGTGACGAGGATTCGATTGGTTGAGCTACTCGGGACGCCTCTAGAGGAGCAACTCGCATATCCGATTGAACACGTTGCCGGTAGCGTCGTGCGTGTCAGACTCCCGCGGCGGTCGTTCAGCGACGACAAGCGGTATGGTGTGGGCGTCATAATGCGTGCGGTCGCGACGACGTCGTCCTCGGGTGATCTCACATGGGTTTTCCAGGTGAACATGGGCGGCGGGCGGCTTCACGAGACAGACATCGTGTACATCTCCAACGACGCCATCACCGTACCGGAGGTGTGTCGACTGCTCCATCGTTGCAGCTCGGATCGCGACTCGGAGACGCAGGGGTTCATGAGCGAAGTTTTGAGCTCTAAACCGGCGTCGGCCACATAGTCGAGCTCGAGATCTATGAATATTTAGCGAATTTGTATTTATTGTCTCGTCCTGTAAAACCGCGCGCAAGCGCCTCATCGTGCGCGCGCGCGTAGTCGGTTATCGAAGTGGTGGTGGTAGTGGCTATATGGCGTATTACAGAACATTTCATGCGCTTTATATCACGTGCGGCTGTTCGCTCGACTGCGCGGCGTAAATAACCCGACGTCGCGTGCACGCTTATTTACGGGTTGATGACAGCCTTGATTTCGTCGTACATCACGAGCACAAGAGCGCCACCGACACCACGAAGAACGTTGGAGAATGCGCCCTTGAAGAAGGCGCCGGCACCTTCTTGCTGGTAAATTTTGACGAAGGCATCCATGGTGCCGTTGTACAACTTCTTGCCGGAGCCCGAGTTCATCATGAGACGACGACGGACGGTATCGAAGGGGTAGGACAAGACGCCGGCAGCGTTGGTGGCGACTTGTGCGACGATAAACTTGAAGATGAATGACGAATCCTTGGTGAGGAGCGCGCCCTTGCCGGTATCGTAGAGGCCGAAGTAAGAGCCACGGTAGACGATAATACCTTGGACAGAGACGCCAAAACCTTGGTAGAGAGCCATCGGACCGGATCGCTTGGCAATCTTGGTCAAGCAGTCAACCAAACCGGTGAATTCACGGGTGCTCTTGTTACCGACATCGGCAGCGAGGCGCGTACGGGCGAAGTCAAGCGGGTACACGATGAGCAAAGAGCCGGCGCCGGCAAGGCCACCAGACGCCATGTTCACGGCGAAGAATGGCCAGAAGGCCTCCTTCGGGCTGTAGGACGGGAAAAGACCCTTAATGGTATCCTTGAATGCGAAGTTGAACGCTTGCGTCGGGAAATAACGAACGATGTTCGCGAGGTTACCTCTCCAGAAGGAGCCAAAGCCTTGCTCAGCAGTCACGCGCGTAAAGCAGTTGACGATACCCGTGTATCGCGGGACCTCGCCAGACATGATACGCGGGTTCGCATCTTGCGTTTGGATCAACAGCTTGACGCGCTCAATCGGCGCGGTCGCCGTCTTGGCGATGGAGCCGGAAACACCGCCCTGCGTAGCGCGAACAAAAAATATCTCGTCAGTTCACTTGGCCAGCTCTGTCGACCCAAAGAATATCAATTCGCCTTGACTTTCCCAACTCATAGACTTAACTCCATTCGTGTACACGCCATGCGTCCGACTGATTTTCCCGGCGCGCGCGATCGATCGACCCATCTTATCGCACGGCCGCTTCTCCCATCGCGCGCGAGTGTTCTCACGCCCCCTTGACGGGCGTAAACGACGAAGTGATTTATTCCCTCCCTTCTGAATCCTCCTTCACGATCGATACCTCACGACATCGAAGATGTACGCACCGCCGCAAGATCCTTCAAGAATCCCGTGAGATCAAACTCCTTCTTCGCCGCCGCCGCGAACGGCCTGTTCGTCGGCTGCGCGACGTCTCTGGCGCCCAACGCGCTGCGAGCGAAACAGTTGGCGTAGAACTCTCTGTTAAGCGCCATCGGGGAGTGCGTGCGGTGCGACGTAGAGTGTCGAACGCGCGCGCGCGCGCGGACGCGTCGTATCAAAACTGTTCTTCGAAATGACAGTCGTTTGGAGGGTGTACTACGACGCGTCCCCCATCGTGTATCAAAGCGTATGGATGGAGATGAAATCGTTCGTCCAGACTCGGACGCCAGAGTGCTCGCGACGTCGGCAGAGCGCGTCGTCGCGCGCCCGGCGCACGCCGACACGACGAGCGCGCCGGAGGGCCGAGCGGGCGCGTACACCGCGATGCGCGCGCGGGCTCTACGGCGATGCGCGGTGACGTGCGCGAGAGCGCGTTTGGGAAGAACGAGGAGTGACCGTTCGAGCGCGACGTTCTCGAGAGGCGACGGACGTTCGAGAGCTCGCGCTGGGTCCTTGGGGGTGGAGGGTGTCAACGCGCGTTCGTTCGTACGCGTCGGATCGAGCGAAGGGACGTCGAGCGCGGTCGAGGGGGCTTGGGAGGCGATTCGGAGGCGCGCGTCGGAGGCGCCCGACGCGCCTGCGACGCTCGCTGGCGATGGCGGTTCGGCGACCTACGGAACAATGATGCGCGCGGCGTCGACGCTGGCGGATGGGTTAAAAAATGTGGTCGATCGTGGGACGCGCGTGGGGTTGGCGGCGACGCCGGGGAGGGAGTATTGCGCTTCGGCGTACGCAACGTGGGCCAGAGGAGGCGTCTTGGTGCCGATAGCAAGCTCGCACTCGGAGGAAGATGCGGCGTACGTGATGGAGCAGAGCGGAATGAAAATCGCGCTCGTCCCACCGAATGTGGACGGTGAAGAGGACGCGGAGACTTATCAAAAGTACGCGAGAGCGGCGAAGAGATTCGGTTTGGAAGTGGAACTGCGACACGTGGAGACGATGGAAAAGTTACTCTCCTCGACTACGAGCACGGACTTCTCCGACGCTGAGAACGTCGGAGCAGACGACGGTGCACTCATCATTTATACTAGTGGAACCACGGGACGTCCTAAGGGGGCACTGCACACTCACCGATCCCTGTATGCGCAATGCGCTGGCTTGATCGACGCTTGGCGATGGGACGCGAGCGACAGGATAATACACGCGCTTCCGATGCATCACATCCACGGCATCGTCAACGCTTGGATGTGCGCTCACATAAGCGGTGCGACCGTCGAGTTCCAGCGCACTTTCACGCCTCGCGGAGTTTGGGCTCGGTTACGCGATGAGTCCAAGCCCCCTGTGACGGTCTTCATGGGCGTCCCGACGATGTATGTCATGCTCATGCGTGCGCTCCACGGAAGCATGGCGCCCGACGCGCGCTTAGCATCCATCAATGCGGCTTCAAAACTGCGTTTGACGGTGAGCGGCTCAGCGGCGTGTCCCGTTCCAGTCTTGGAGGAATGGCGGAAACTCACCGGTAGAAGTTTGCTCGAACGTTACGGCATGACTGAAATCGGCATGGCGCTTAGTAATCCGTATGACGAGAAGAAACACAAGCCGGGGTACGTGGGAATACCTTTACCTGGGGTGGAGGTGAAACTCGCCCCGTTAGTCGGCGATGAAGTCGCCGCCGAGGCTGCGTCGGACGATGAATACGCTCAAGGACCCGGCGAGCTACTCGTCAAGGGTGCAAATTTATTTGCGCAGTATTACGACAATCAGAGGGCAACTGCGGAGAGTTTCGACGAAGATGGCTATTTTAAAACGGGTGACGTCGCGGCCATGTCGAGCGATGGTTACTGGCGTATTTTGGGTCGGGCATCCGTTGACATTCTCAAGGTTGGGGGGTTCAAGGTGAGCGCGCTTGAAATCGAGGCAAAACTGCTTGAGAACCCATCCATCGCGGAAGTTGCCGTTTTGGGTATCCCTGACGAAGCGTACGGACAGCGAGCCGCGGCTCTCGTCGTCCCCGCGATCGATACCGAGACCGGTCAACCCGTCAACTTGACCGAGAACGACATCATGACGTGGGTGCGTCACAACACGCCGTCGAAGCACCATTTGCGCGTGGTGAAGTTCGCGGAAAAGGTGCCTCGAAATGCCATGGGAAAGATAAACAAGAAGGATCTGCAGAAGACGCATTTTATTGATTGTTTTTAGTAGCAGCGGCGGAACTATGCCGATAGAATTTTGTATTGCGAGTTGTGTGCAGCGCCTTTGTTTCGATGTTTCTTCGCTTTGTAACAAGTTGAGTGTAATAGTACAGGAGTAACTCATCTACTGGTAGTTTGAGCCGTGACGGCCGGCAGTGGAAAGTTCGACATAAGTTCGATGTCAGCCGCGGTCACGGGTGGTGCTTCGCCTTTCAAAAACAGTTCGAGCGACGGCGGCGCGACGACTCGATCGAGATACTGTTGAAGATTGGGTCCGTATATTTTCTCTTCCTCGGCAAGAGCTTTGCTTAGGTCGGCCATGACGTCGGCGTTGGCCCGCATCACGTCGCACGCGACAAGAAGAGAAGTTGTGAGTATATGCTTGACCTCTTTTTCGACGATAGAGTCGGTTTCGCTTGCCCTGTCCGAGCCGAACAGAACGTCCTCGCTGGCCCCAGACGAGAGAGTTGAGAGACTCATCGGGCCAACGTTCGCGCTGAAACCGAGCTCAGCAATGCTCTTATACGCTAAGTTTGTTGCACGCTGAATGTCATCGCTCGCACCGGAGCTGATGCGCTTGCACACCACCATCTCCGCAGCTCGCCCGCCCATGAATGTCGTCACCTTGCCCAAGAGTTCGTCCTTGTACATCAGCCAACGGTCCTCCGTTGGCGGCGTGTACGTAAATCCGAGCGCACCCCCACTGCGACTGACGATGCTCAACGTCTCCGGACGTTCAGTGTCCGGAATGAGCCGTCCTACTGCCGTCGAGACGAGAGCGTGGCCGACTTCGTGAACTGACACTGTCGTCTTCTCGCTGATTGACAACAGGTTTCTCTTCTTCTCGATGCCGGCGATTGTTCGAAGCACGGCGGCTTCAAAGTCCGCATAACCCACCGTGCTCTTGCCCGAGCGACCGGCGAGGAGCGCGGCCTCGTTCACCAAGTTTTCCAAGTCTGCGCCGGTGAAACCCGCCGTCATCTGCGCAATGACATCGAGTCCAGCGTCCTCGGCGAGGGGAAGATGTCGTCGACCCGTGTGTACGGCGAGAATTTCTCGACGTCCCTGTTTATCTGGACGATCCACCGAAACCGTTCGATCGAAGCGTCCTGGTCGACGCAGAGCTGCGTCAAGGGTATCTGCGCGGTTTGTGGCGGCAATGCAAATCACCATCGACTCCGTCTCGAATCCATCGAGCTCGGTAAGAAGTTGATTGAGAGTTTGTTCGCGTTCATCGTTTCCCATACCGCGCATCTTTCCGTCTCCGCGACTCTTCGCCACGGCGTCGATTTCGTCGATGAACACTATCGACGGAGACTGCGCCTTTGCCCTGGCGAACACCTCGCGCACTCGAGCAGCACCCATACCGACGTAAAGCTCGACGAATTCGGACGCGGAGATGGATATGAATGGTACCCCGGCCTCTCCAGCGACGGCACGAGCGAGTAAAGTCTTGCCGGTACCTGGAGCCCCGACAAGCATGACGCCGCTCGGTGGTCGGGCGCCAAGTCGCGCATACTTTTCAGGTCTCTTCAGTATGTCCACGATCTCTTGCAGCTCCTCCTTGGCTTCGTCCACGCCCGCGACGTCGGCGAACGTCGTCGTAGGCGGTGCGATGGCGTCTCTGGCTCGACCTCCACGCTGCACTCCGGGCATGGAGATCCCTCCCGGGGAGCCGCGAACTCCCGGACCGCCAAAGCTCCCTTGACCCTGGTTGCGGAAGACGTTCACCAACAAAACGAACATGAGCAGCGCGAGCCACGGCGCGTAATTCGGAGCTTGTCTCGGATCTGGAGCTGTCATATCCACACTATTCTTCATGATGGCATCGTACGGCATCGGCGCATCCTTCGGTCGCGTTGTGTGATACACCACCTCCACCTCCCTCGGTTCGTTGAACGGCGTTCCCTCTGAACCCGGCGGCGGAGGCACAATCTTCTTCGACCGTGAAACCCACGTGAGCTGATTCCCATCCACATGCACCGCTCGAATGTTGTTCCTATTCGCCGCCTCCACGAACACGTCGTACCTCGCCGACACCGGTTGCGTTTGCGCAGACGTTTGCGCGGTCAGCGCGAACGTAGTCACGCTGAACGCCGCGTAAAACAAAAATCCCTTCCCCAGAAGCTTCAACAGCTCCAGCGGTTGCAGTACGTTCACCACCCACCACGCCGTCCCTCGCTGCGGCGTCGGCTCCCTTCCTCGTCCGTTATCTCCGTTCGTCGACACGTTCGCGTTCGTCGCCGCCTCGCTCCGCCGACCCCCATCCGCCGACCCCCCCGACGTCTCCAGCCGGTCGCCCTCGTCCGATCCGCTCCGCCCCGACTCATCCCCCGCGCGCGTGCGCACGTCACGCGTCGTAATCCTCGCCATCACCCCCCCCACGCGCGTCACCGCCGCGACGCGCGCGACGAACCGTCGTCCATCGCCTCGACACCGTTCGAGACAATCGTCCTCTCGCGCCCGATTACCCGCCCCGATCGCCGCCTCGCCCCGCCTCGACGCGCGCCCACGGACGCGCGCGCGTCTCGCCGGCGTCACCGCTCGCCCGCGCGCGCCGACGACCGCGCGCGCGAGCGACGCGGTCATAATCTCGCCGTCGACCTGTGCCGCCCCGGACGCGGCGACGCGTCGGTCGACGTCGACGCGCTGACCGGTGAGACGCCTTTGGAACTTGCGCGCGAAAGGCCGCCGCGCCTTTGGACTTTTTTCTCGAAAGGGCAACGCGACGTCGGATCGCGGGCGGGGAAAATGGATCGCGATCGACCGACGCGAACGACACTCCACCGCGCGCGCGATGGCGAGCGCGGTGTGCGCGTGGCGCCCGCGAACGGGCTCGGGCTCGGGGGCGTCGTCGCGGTCGAGCGTGAGCGAGTACGTGGCGCTGAGACGATTTTTGTTCGAAGAGCTCAACGTCGCGGCGAGTAAAAAGTCTGGACACGCGCTCACGATGGCGGTGATGCGGCGGACGACGCCGGAGGGAGGGCTGGGGCTGGGGGTGACGACGGAGGAGGCGCGACGGTGCCCGGAGGAGTTTTACGCGGTGGTGTTTAAGAATCCAGAGCGCCGAGCCGTGGTGGCGCGCGGGCGGGACGGCGTCGGCGTCGGAGGGGTGAACGGCGATAATGCGGACGACGCCGAGGACGGTGGGGAGCGATCGACGTTCACGTGCGATCAGGAGGCGGTTCGTGAGTTCATGAGCGCCCCGGCGGCGCGGTTCCATCGAGCGGCACACACGTACGTCGTGGCGGGAGACGCGTTCGATGCGGGCGACTTCCGTGTGCGAATTTGTCGCGTCGAAACCAACTCGGGGGCGTACGTGGGGACGATTTTAGACGTCACCTATAACGCGACGAGCGACGCGGCGACCGCGAGACGGGCGCTCGAAGAGTACGCCGCGTACGCTACGGCGGCGGCGAACGCGCGCGCCGAGAGCGACGACCAACGAGGCGACTTCGTCTGGGTCGACCTCCGATCGAGCTGCCCTGCGGACGTGTACAGGGCGAAAGCCGGAGACTTGCAGCGCGCGATTAGCTACGTCGACGCCTTGCGCGAGCTCAGGAGATAGCCAAATTTTTAATGACTTCAAACAGAAGCAAAAAGTGCGAGAAAAAAACACGTGACCGTTACGCGTCCCAACCGCACTCGCCGTCGTCGTACGTCGCCATGCCCCGAGCGTTTCCCGCGATTTCGCTCGAGCGCGACGAACGTATGTTCTCGGACGTCCGCGCCGACGCGCGCGATGAACGCTCGTCTGTTAGCACGACGGCGCGAAGAGTAAACGTTCGGGACGCGATGGGAATGAACGCCGAGACATCTTTCGTCGACGCGTCGTCCACCATCGTGCGCGACGACGCGGACGACGTAGACTTGGCGTGGGTGTCATTTGCGAACGACGCCGCGGTGTTGGCACGGACGGAAGCGGAGGCGAGTGCGAGAGACGCGGCGTTCGAGGAGGCGTTGCAGCGAGTGCGTAAGAGCCGTCGCGCGATGGCGCGACGGACGCAGGAGCGAGCGAACGCGCGACGGGAGTACTTGGAGGGCGAACGTGATAGTGCCGATGTTGGTGACGTGCGCGCGAGCTTGCAAACGGACGACGACGAGGGTGAGGGCGGAGGGACGTCCGCGGGGTGGCGAGGCGAGTTTTCAGCGCGCAAAGGCGACCCGGCCAGAGCGCCGCGAGCGCTTCCCCCGTCCTGGACCGCGCCAAAGCTTCCAGTGCATCTCGGCGACGGACCGTCGGAAGCGTTCAGACGTGAAATCGCGGACCGCGCCGCGCGGGCGAGTCAGGTGGCGGAGGATGCTATGCGCGAGTCGGACACCGTGGCGGAGCTCGCGGACCAAGTCAAGAGGCTCAACTCGGCCCTGAGCGCGTGTGAACGTCGCGAGAGCGCGGCCGAGATGGCGGCCACAGCAGAGGCCGAGCGGGCGGCGGCTCTGGAGCATCAGTACTTGGAGATAAAGTCTCGTCTAAAGGCACGAGATTCAGACGTGAGCGAATTGAATAAAGTCATGTTCATCCTGAAGAAGCGCGTCGAGGAATTGACGGACGAAGTGGACGAGGCGAGGAGAGAAAACGAGAAACACAGGATGGAAATCGCTGAGCTCAAAGTGAATGATTCCGAGCTTCGTAGGACCGTGGAAAAGAGGGCTGTGGGCGAACGCATTGCGCAGAGCGCGAGCGAGAGCACCAAGCGAGACATCCTAGCTCTTCAGAGCAAATGTCGAATTCTCGAGGAGGAGAACGAGCGATTGAGCGCACGCGTATCTCAGAGCGAAGAGAACGAGCACGAGTCGAGTAGATCAGCGCAGCGGTTCCATCAACTCGCCGAGGCTTCGGCTAGAGAGAATGAGATTCTGCAACGCGCAAATGACGCTTCTTCGGCTGAAAACGCGCAGCTTCGAGAAGATCTCAAGGAGCTCCACAAGGAGGTTCGAGAACTGAAGACTCAGATGAGCGCTAGGCGCGCGAACATTCAAGTGACCGCGCCCCTGGCAGCACCTGAGCGCGTCGTACTGGCGCCAGCACCAGCACCGGCACCAGCACCGCCAGCGCCGTCGGCGAGGCCCATCGAGCCGAAAGTCACGACAGAGGTTGCTGTTGAGCCCGCCAAGCCGCCGAAGCTCGCCGCGAGTCAGCCGCATGCGTCTGCAGAAGATCTCGTGAACGTTGATTACGAGCACTTCGACAGGTCCGAGTACAGGAGACGCATGCGGGACGGAAGTGGATTCTTCTATGACATGCGAGGCGTCGATCCGCCGAAGACAAAAGAGAAAGCCAAGCGAGAGGTGCCGACGAAACCGCGCCCCGGCGAGCGCTTCGTCCCTCCGCCCGAGCCTACGCCTCGAAATCAATCGTACGAGGATTGGATGCGCACGATATCCGAGCTCGAGAAGGAGCACATGCGTCTCGCTCTGGAGCGAGACGGTCTCGAGGCTCAGCTCAACAAACTCCCGCCCGGCGCCGGACGCACCATGCTTGAGCGCGAGGCCAAGGCCAGCGCCCTCGAGCGCCTCGACGCCGTGCACAAATCGTTGAAGGATAATCGCAACGCCCTCAAACGGGCGCGAGACGCGCGTCGCGCTTAGTCACACGGTGCCATCTCTCCCGCGTCGGCTCCGCCATTTCAGAAGAAGGCTTCGTCACCACCGAGACTCTAGAAGGTGTGATCGTCAAGTCGCGCCTCGCTCGCTTCCGCCTCGACGTCCGATCGCGCGCGTGCGCTTCCGTGACGTCGAGGCGTCTTATCTGACCCTCTGAAGACGCGTCGTCCTCGGACGCGCGGACGCAACGACGCGAACAAACGACAGATTGCGAATCTTGAGAACGATCGACGATGCGGCTCGCGAAGTACGTCGCCGTCTCCGTCATCGCGACGACGCTGGTGATCGCGCACGCGATGTACACCCGTGAGCAGTACTTCCCGGCGATGATGTACCTGTCGACGAGCAAGATGGCGCTGGTGGCGTTCGGGAACTTGGCGTTCGGCGCGGCGCTGGTGTTGGGACGCGCGGTGAAGGCGACGTTTCTTGGACAGCTCAGAGAAGCAGAGGTCGAGCGATTGTACGAGCGCACGCGAGACGCGGTGATGGAAACATGCCTGGCGATGACGATCTTTCGAGAGGAGTTCAACGCGAGGTTCGTGGCGATGTTCGTGGGGTTGCTCTTCGTTAAGGCGTTTCACTGGTTGTACACAGATCGGGTGCAGTACGCGGAGACGGCGCCGACGCTCAGTCGCGTGACGCACATTCGTCTTGCGGGATTCATGGGGACGCTTTTGCTTGTTGATGTGAGCATGCTGAGTTACATTATCGGGAACACCATCGCAAAGGGGCCGAGCGTGTTGCTGTTGTTTGGGTTTGAGTACGTCATCCTCGTCACGAAGCTCGTCGTCGGCGCCGTGAAGTACTTGATTATCAGCGCCGATCGCGTGCTGGACGGACAGTGGCAGGGTAAGGGCACCTGCGTCTTCTACCTCGAGCTCGTCACCGATCTGTTGCAGCTCTTTGTGTACTTTGTCTTCTTTTTGATTATCTTCGCCTACTACGGGCTACCAGTGCATCTTGTGCGAGACTTGTACATGACATATAGGAACTTTAGGAAGAGGGTGGAGGAATTCATTCGCTATCGTCGGGTGACGGCGAATTTGGACGATAGATTCCCCGATTCGAACACGGAAGATTTGTCCACGAGCGATGATGTGTGCATCATCTGTCGTGAGAACATGGAGGTTGGCGCGCAGGGTGGGAACAAGCCGAAGAAGCTGCCGTGCGGGCACTCGTTCCATCTGCACTGTCTTCGCTCGTGGCTGGAGCGACAGCAGGCATGTCCCACGTGCAGGCACTCTGTGCTACCAGAGCGCGAGCGACGAGCGAACGCAGTGAGACAGGCTGAGGAAGAGGCGCAGTGGCAACAACTGCCGCCAGAGCTTCAGGCGGGCTACGTGGCTCCAGAAGTCGTAGAGAGACTCGATCGCGAGGCGGCGGAGCGTAGAGCGCAAGCAGGGCAGACAACGCCACCCAACGCGCATTCTGACAGAGCCCGACGTCACTCAACTACCCTGCCGCGCACTCCGGAGCAGGCGCCCGGAGAGGACCCTAACGCTCCGACGCCGGAGCGGCGTATGTCGCCGAACGCTCAATTCCGCACACCACCGTCAGATCGGACGCAGATATCGAATCGTTTCAATTCTCCATCACAGGCATGGCAATCGCCACACACATTCGCGGCGACACATGCGGCGAATTCTGCGAGAGGTAGCGTCGAAGGTCTCGGTACCATGGACGATGAAATGGCGCACAGGGTGGCCACCGCTGTGGCATCCGCGGTTGCCGCCGCGAGCGCGCAGGCGCAGCTCGCTTTCGCGAGCGTCGCACCATTTGGTGTGCCTGGGCTGGTAGAATCAGTCACGGCACATGCCTCAGGCGTCGCAGCGCCACCCACGACGCCCATTCCTTCGACGAGTGAGCAGTCGCGTCCATCATTTTCGCCAATTCCTCGTAACGCGTCACCCGCCGTCAGAGTCGCCATGGAAGCTGAACGCCAGGCCACCCTGGATTCCATGCAAGCACAAGTGCGTCTCATCCAGGCACAAATGGCTACGCTCCAGGTACAGGCGAGCGAAGAGGAACGCGGAATAGTCGCCAGAACCGTCAATCGCGGAAAGGAGACACTCACGGACGATGACGATGCTGACAATCGGGCGAGTGAAACCTCGCACTTAATCCCTCTCACCGAGAATCAACCACCGCGACGCGAAGATGAAAACGAAGACTCGAACGATCCAGCCGGTATCCTTCGTCGTCGCCGCTTACAACACTTCGCATAGAAGGTCTGCGACTTGTAACAACCGAACGCTCGTTTCTCACCCACTCCACTCACTCTCTCACTCTTCTCACACTCATGGGTCAAAAGCGCTTCGAGCGCGTGCTCAAGCAACAACAACGCGCCGTAGAGACCGCTGAGAGCGTTAAGCGTCAGCGCGGACCGAGCATTCGGGAGAGAGTCGCAGCGTACAACACCGAGCTCATCGCCGCCGCCGACCTCTCAGCTGTTCGCGGATGGAGCTCGAGCGACGCAACGACGAGCGCGCGGGATGAAGGGTTTTCGAGGGTGCACTTTAGTAATCTGGACGTTCGCGTCGATCCGGTAGCGATGAAGGAGGCGCTGCGGCGGTTCGTGACGGACGTAGCGCGCGAGGCAGGCGTGGAAGACGAAACGGTGGGCGACGTCAACGTCGGGACTTTCGGACCATGCCGACCGAAGACGAGGCGGGATAGGGACCGTGAACATCGCGGATTTGCAACGTGTGCGTTTCAGAGCGCGACGGACGCCGAGGCGGTGGCGATGATGGCGAGCGGACGCGCGCTCAACGTCGGGACGGATTCAGTAGTACGGGAAATTCGGGCAAAGGTGGACTCAAATAACGAATACGACGACGAATTTGTGAAAGGGCTCCGCGGGAAGGTACCGGTCGTGAAGGAGGTGAAAGAGGAGGTGCGGAAGAAATGGAATTTGAGCGAGCTGTGCGACAGCTTACCCATGCGAGAGAGTTGCTTGTCGACGCACACTCGATTTAGTGATTTAGATGGATACTTGAGGGTGCGATTTCTAGAGTACCTGAGCACGACAGTGCCGGCAATGCCGGAGCTCGCGGGTGTCGTGCTCGCGATGGAGAAGACCTCCCCGCAATATTTACGGGTCAAGGAGCTCTTGGAATCCATCGAGGTCTTCAAGCTTGTCGTGGCGCATCTTCAGTCGGCGGAAAACTTACGGCGGAAAGTTCATTACGACACCTTCTTTGACCTGGCGTGCGGCCACGGTCTCGTCGGTGTCATGCTCGCGCACGCGTTTCCGGGACGGAGAGTTCGTTCGTTTGATGTCGCGCGACGGCCAGCTTTTCTAGCATTTTGCCACGGCTTCGCAAATGTCTCGACGGATTGGAGTGTTGAGAGTGATGTAGATTGGACACGCGAGGGGGAGTTTGTCCCCGAGAATCGGTTCGAAGAGGGCGACCACAAGAGAGATAAACCAGAGGCATCGAATGTAGACGATTGCGAAGAGAAACCGGCGCTACCGAACATTGATTTTACGCATGGTGACATCGTAGCTGCGAAGGCATTTCTGAACGACGCCAGTTTTGTCATCGCGCTTCATGGCTGCAACGAGTTGAACAAAATCGCAGTCGATATGGCGCGCGACATCAACGCTCTGTGGTGCGTCATGCCGTGCTGCATCAAGACGAACATCTATATCCCAAATGCCATCGTCTCGAAGCTCAACGACGACGCGCGGTACGCCTTCATGTGCGGAGCGATCGCGGCCATGCATGATGCTCAGCTAATCCGCTCCATCGACGTGCGCATCACCAATCGAGCGATCGTCCTCTGCGGTGGGATCACAGGGTATGTCAAGGGATGTTTCTTCATGGACGGCTCCGCGAAGATTCTTCGTGAACGAGCGCAATAGAACAACCGCGCCACCTGTATTATTCAACCGCCGATGTACACGCGTCTGACGCCCTCACCAACCCTCACTCTCGAGCGCTTCGTCGACATGCGCAACCGCCATCGGTCGTGAGACGCGCGTTGACGCAGATCGCGATGGCGAACGCGTCATCGGGCGATCGCGCATCGTCATCGTCGTCGTCGTCATCATCATCATCGTCGTCATCATCGTCGTCGTCGAGCATTTTCGATGAAAATGCGGCGGCGGCGGCGCGGGCGACGAAGAAACGACGGACGACGGACGACGTGGACGCGATCTCTTCCCGAGCCGAGCGCTTGATCGCGAGCGGATTGTTACCGATCAAGAAGGGCGCGGTCGTCGCGGAGGACGCGACCGCACGCGTCGACAGGACGACGGGACGAAGCGTCGGCGGCGCGGCGAGCGGGTCAAAAGGCCAGGACCGCGATCGCACGGGCGAGAGCCTGCGCACGATCAAGCGAAGGAACGCCGAGGCGCGAAGGAAAGATTTATGTCGATACACGGCGCAGGGCGAGGTGTGTCGACTCGGGAAGCGGTGCGGGTACTCGCACGATTTGAGCGCGTACAGGGCGTCGAAGCCGAGCGACGTAGAGAGAGCGGCGTGCGTGTTCATCAACGCCGAGAGCGATTCGTGCCCATTTGGGGTGCGATGCCGGTTCGAGTCGAGTCATCGCAAGATGAAAAGTGATAAGACGGTGGAGATGCCGATGAATATCCTGGATGACGCGATGCAGAAGCGTTTGTCAAGGAACGAGTATCCATTCCCACGCTCGGACAAGGCGCTTCGGGAGGGGAACCTCGAGGTTAAGTGTCTCTCGTTCGCACAGAAGCACAAGCTCGATCGTAGGGAAGGATTTCTGGGATCGTTCGAGCCTGGACGCGTGAACGCACGTGAGAAACGTGTGAGTTTGGAGTTCAAGGGTAAGATTTACGTGGCACCCCTAACAACGGTCGGTAACCTTCCGTTTCGGCGTATTTGCACCGATCTCGGCGCCGACATCACCGTCTCAGAGATGGCGATGGCGTCTAATTTGCTTAAGGGAGATCGCAAAGAGTGGGCTCTGGTGCGTCGGCATCCCATTGAGAAGTGCTTCGGGATCCAAATTTGCGGAGGGTACCCAGACTTGATGACTCGTTGTGCCGAATTATTGGACAACGAGGTCCACTGCGATTTCATCGACGTCAACATGGGATGTCCCATCGACGGTGTGTGCGCGAAGGGGGCCGGGGGTAGTCTCATGCGCGACACCGACCGTTTGAAGCGAGTAGTGCGCTCCATGACGTCGGTTTCGTCCACGCCGGTGACGATCAAACTACGCATGGGTTATTTCGACGACCCATCAAGGTACGTGGCGCACGACATCATTTCCAAAGCTAAGTCCTGGGGTGCGTACGCCGCGACTTTGCACGGGCGAACACGAGAACAACGATATTCTAGACTCGCGGATTGGTCTTATATCCACCGATGCGCGGACGCGTCAGCCTTGAACAACCTTCCCCTGATCGGCAATGGCGACGTGTACACCTATCAGGACTGGAATGAGCAAATTGCCAACGAGAAAATATCGACATGTATGATCGGTCGCGGAGCGATCATCAAACCTTGGCTCATGACAGAGATCAAAGAGCAGCGTCACTGGGATATTAGTGCAAATGAACGTTTGGACCTGTTCAAAGACTTTGTCCACTACGGATTGGAGCACTGGGGCAGCGACTCCGTCGGGGTCGAGAAGACTCGTCGATACTTGTTGGAGTGGATGAGCTACACGCACCGATATGTCCCGATCGGACTATTAGAGCAGAACGTCGTGCCCAAACTGCATCTTCGTCCGATGCGTTACGTTGGGAGGTCGGATCTTGAGACAAAGCTGGCAAGCGATAAACTGGAGGATTGGCTCGAGCTGAGTGAGTTGTCCGGCTTGGGTAAGCCGGATCCGTCGTTCCGGTTCGTCCCGAAGCACGCCTCGAATAGTTATACAAAAGAAAGCGCTGAAGCCGCCGCGGCGTGGCTCGACGAGGGCGAGGAGAACGGATGAGCGCGGTTCGTTCATCCTGTATCATAAAAACTGTGTTCCACTAGTAGGTACGTATCAACTTCATTCGGGTGTTTCACGTTCTTCCGTCGTCGTCGCTCGCGGTGATGATCTACCTTTACAAAGCTGGAATTACCAACTGAGGCTAGAATGATTTGGGGCGATGGAGCCCGGCCCTCTTACGCAATGCAGAGTATAGGCATCTGAGCGATTTTGGCGACGACGGAGAACCACGGAAAGGGCACGCGAGACTCGATTGATGGATGACTAACAGCGCACGCGCACTTCACTGCCGCAGATGCAATTGACGCGAGCGAAAGAAACCACGTAGTACCGTCGTGCGAGTTCCACGAGCATTGTAAAACACAACACGTCATCGCTCGATTTCAAACCTGGCGCGCGCGACGCGATAAGCTCATCATTCGCACACCAACACCGCAGTCCTGCGCTCGCAACGCGCCCGCAATCACCCGCGGACCGCTCGAGTGTAGAATCACAATGTTTGCGTCGACGCACACGTTGTTCGCGTCCCGAGCGCGCCCGAGCGCGTCCACCAGAGCGTCTTCGCGCGCTCGGTCGATCTCGTGCGCTGCGTCTCCAGCACGTCCCGACGCATCGGGTCTGCGTCCGTTGGACGCTCGTACGTCGCAACACATCGCGTGTGTCGCAGCGCAACCTTCGAAGACGGCCGCGCCCGAGTTAAACAAGTTCCAGGAGTTCGGCAGACAGTACTGGCCCGCATTCGCGGTGCTCGAGGGCGTGGCGCTCGTCGGCGCCACGGTGAACGGGATCTTGTCCCGAAAGCGGCGACTGGAGATCGAGCGGTTGAACGCGCAGATGCGAGGGATCATGGCAAAGCTGGATGAGCGGGATACGACGCTGGTGAGCGAAGATGGGAGCACGGAGGCGAGCGAGGCGCTCGCAGCGGCGAAGAGCGCGATGGCGAGCGACCACAACGAGCGCGCGAGCGAACTGTTCGCCAACGCGATCGCCATCGCCGAGCGCGAGAAGGATCCGGGTGCGGAATTGAGCGCGAGAAAAGGTCTCGCGATGTCTCTCGCCGCTCAGCGCAAGTTCGCCGACGCTGCGACCGAGTTGGAGACCTGTTTGCGGCGCTCACAGGCGCTCGAGCAAACCGACGGCGACTCCGTCGTCTACGGCCTTCTCGGCGACGTGTACACCGACCTCGGCGATTTCACCAAGGCTGGCGCCGCGTACGACATGTGCATTCGCGTCCTCGATTAGATATTTCCTGTCACGTCACGCTCCTGGTCTCGATCGTCCCGCCTCCCCTCCCCTCGACTGGCCAACCGTCCCCGATCGAGCGAGCCAATCGAAATCATCCAAACAAAAAAATCATCCAAACAAAATATCTCGCGACACCGCGCGCGCTCGTTCGCGGCGACCGCACGCGTCGTCGTCTCGGACGCCGCGCCGCGCGCGTCGTCGTCGAAAGTGCGCGTCGTCGTTCGCGCGCGTCGTCGTCGTCGACAGCGCTCGTCGTCGAAAGCGACCGCGAGGGGCTCGAGCGCGTCGTCGGTGACGTAACGGTCGACGAACGTGGACGATGCTCGCGTCGTGCGCGATGCGACGCGCGGTGACGCCTCGCGCGGTGCGCCGGGAACGACGCGTGGGTTCCGTTGATGGTGCGCGAGGGATCTCGGTGCGCGCGCACGCGCGGTCGCGCCGTGGAAGGCGGGATCGCGGGAGAGGCGATGACGATGATTTCAAACGGGAGCTGAACGTCGAGCCAGAGGCGTGGCTCGAACGCGACGAAACGAATGGGAAGCGCGGTGAGAATGGAGTGAACGGGAAGTTGCAGGGGGGTGATGCGAGCGCGAGTGGGGAGAAGAAGACGAAGACGGTTGAGGCGGATCTCGTTGAAGACGTCTCGGAGGAGGCACAGGAAGAGGACGTGCAGGATTTCGTCGAGAGCGTCGTCATGAGCGAGAGCGAAGAGACCTTCGCGCTGCAGAAGAAGCGCATGCAGCTCATCATCGAAGAGAAGGAATGGGAGTTGGAGTCGCCGAACACGAGCGAAGATGACAAGATGTACAAGCTCGTGGAGTATGTCAACGCGGTCGAGGCATTCAAAGAGCTGTGCTCGAACGAGGTCCCCAACACCGTCGGGGACTTGCTCGGACAGTACGTCACGGTGCATCATCTCGATATCGGTGCGCCAGGTTACGACGAGGCCATGGCATTCCTTGGTCTGGACGAAGAGGACGAGGATGAGGAGCTCGACGTCGAGTCGCTCAAGCGACTCGCTCGAATGCAAGTTGAGTACGCCATGGACAACGACGACGACGATAGTGACGATGAGGACGATGGAGAGGATTTCACAGTAGAGTTTCATTTTGAAAACGAAGATATCGAGCCGCTTCGGGGGTTACACTGCGCTCAGGACGTCGAGGGCAACTGGCGCTGGCTCGAGGACGACGAAGGAAGAGTGCTTCCCGCGTTGCCCTTCGGTGACTTCAACACCAAGCTCATGGGGGTCGAGTACATGATCAAGGCTGGATTGAATGTAAACTCGCTGCACGAAGAAATCGACCCGATTGAGTTGCTGAGCTTCGAGGGCTGCAAGACGTGGGAGGAGACACTCCGAGTCATGCAGGAGGCGCAGGAGGCGCTCAAGCACCTGGAGGAAACGGGCTGGAAGGTGGATACGAGGAGCTGGTCCAGCGAACAGGAGCGCCTCATCGTCGTCAAGGAACTATCCCCGCTTCGCACGATGTCTGCAGCCGTCATTGAAGCCGCAAACGAAGATGACCAAGAGCAAGATGAAAACTAACACGAGCGCTCATTCAATACCGCATCAAGACCACACATGTACACCCGCCATACGTTGTAACACAAGGGAAGCGGCTTAAATGCAATGATAGCAAACTACTAGTACTAGTACATGGCGTCTCGCTGAGACACCTTTAAGAGAACAAACGCGAGCCACAGGTAGCCCACGACCATGACCGCGAGGACGGTCATATCATACAACATCACGTCTTGTGTCGCTCCGAAGCTGAAGAATTTAAGAACTTCTTTTCCATCGACGGGGACCCTGATAGGGTTGCCTCCATCGGTCGCCGGCATGTGACTCGTCTTGGAATCGACGAGTTTTGGCGTGAAGTAAAACGTTCCTGCGTTAAGAAACTCGTTTATCAACAACGCTTCAAAAGCGTAATTGACGAAGGACAACTCCTCAAGCCAAGTCACGGCAACGGAACCTCCAGAGTGTGGATCTTGCTTATTAAGCAAGAATCCACCACATAGAATGGATACTAAGAGTGCTAGCAGGCCGATCACGTTCGCGGATGCGTTGCTCGGGCTGATAATACCCACGCACATGCAAAGCGCAGCGGCGGCGACATTTGTCATGATCAACACTATTGCGCAGAACAGCGCGTTTATGAGAGTGGCGTGAAGGCCCATCATCCAGTACGTGACACTCGAGAAGAATAACGGTGGAATCACTCGTAAAACGGCGATGTCGAATAGAATCACGGCCGTGAAGTACGCATTTGTACCGTAGACTCCGCTCGCTCGCTCGCGACGGAACAGTACTTGATCCTCCTTCCATATAGGTAAGGATGATAAAGACATCAAAGTAAGGTACAAAATCATGAAGAACAGAGCACCCATGCGGTTCTGTATCCCGCCGGTGTCTCGACCAGAGTTCCAGAAGATGATGCCGAGAGCAAAAGAAGACGCAGCCGTAGACGCGAAGTGCAGCATCAGCAAGAAAGGATGCCGGGAGGTCATACTTGCGATTCTTTGAGTCAACAGGCAAACTTGCTTGGCGTATGAGCTGACGTATTTTGGAACTATCAACGGCTCGCTCTCAGAATCCTCGTACCGAATCGTCAGAGTATCGGCGATTAGCAACGCGCTCGCCGCTATATCACTCTCCGCAAATGCCCGCACCATGCGCTTCACTTGCGATCGCGGACTCTTCAACACGACGTCCAGCATGTAGTCTGCGATATGTAGATCGGAAGACGACATACTCACGAACGACATCGAGTGGAAATGTGAACTAGCGAGCGCAGACGGCCCGGAGTAGACCACGTTACCGTCGGAACTCAAAACCAACACGCGGTCCAGAAGACGGAAAATGTCCGGACGAGGCTGGTGGATACTCAACAGCACCGTCGTCCCCATCGCGCCAAGTCCTGATAGGATGTCCACGACCTTCGCCGCGTTCGTACTATCGAGCCCAGTCGTAGGCTCATCCAAGAACATGATACCGGGACTCATCAGAAGCTCTGTCGCAATACTGACTCTGCGCTTTTCCCCACCAGAAATGCCGCGTTGAAACTGATCGCCAATGAATGAGTCAGCGAGCTTCTCGATCCCGAGAATCTGCATGGTAGACTCAACACGCTTGCGAACGTCCGTATCCGCCGTATTACCCGGAAGTCGTAGCTTCGCGTGAAACATTAAGTGCTCGTAAACTGTCGCGCTTCCAGGCAACACATCGTCTTGCGTAACGTATCCACTCAAGCGCCGAATTTGTGAGGAGACAATTGGTTGACCGTTAATGCGAATGTCACCTCGTATGATATGCGTCCGAGGTGCTCTTCCCGCAAGAATGTCGAGCAAAGTTGTCTTACCAGCTCCGGATGGTCCAAGAATGGCAAAAAGATCGGCGTGTTGTTCCAGACGCGTCATCGGCCCGTCGCGTGGTGCGGCAATGAAATTCACGGGGCCAGCCACGCCGGTAACGTTCTTTAAAACGCGACGACCCGATTTTAACGTGCAAACAACGTCGATCCAAGATAAGATATACGCGACTCGTTCGTCGTCTCGCTCAATGATGAGAGATTCAGAAATATCGTCATCGTCTAGAGCGCTGGAGAACAGCGCGTTTACCTCAGTGTTCTCCGAAATCAAGCTATCGTCCGCGCGAATCGAGAATCCCTCATCGGCATCCGCAAACACATCATGCAGGTCAATCACTTGTTCATCTGTGCCCTCAGAACTTTCGACACTTTCATCAAAAGCGTCCGAGTCTTTGGATGTTGCCTTCAGAAATATGTAGCAACCGAAGGCGAACAGCGCCCCTTCAACGATTAAAAAACTGACGTCCCACGGAGCAAGGTACGGATGGAATCCAAAAGTGAACAGAACCTTTTCACCGGGAACTGGAATTTGATTTGGAAGCCTCTGACCGCTCGCGGCGCTTGAATTACTCCAACTTTCTGTCAAGGTGAAAGTCAAGGGATTGTCGACGAACTCGTTCACCATGAGCGCCTCATAACCGCGATTGATGAAACTCAAGTCTGCAATCCAGCGGACGTACCATGGAATGTGGTCCTTATTCAGCAAAAATCCACCGAAAAGAATAGCACCCAGGAAGCAGAGTGACGCAACCATGTTCGCAGCTGCAACGTTTCGATTTGCAGCACCGACAGCCATACAGAGACACGTTGCGACAATGTTTGTGAGTATCAGCACGAACACAAACTTAAGGAGATTCCACTCACCGCCTTCGTTCAGACCGATCATACCATATGAAAAGAAGCCAAAGAAGAATGGGGGCAGCACGCGCATCGGAAGCAAATCAAACAGAAGCATACTCACAAAGTAAGCATCTGTGCTGTAAACACGACTCGCGCGCTCACTTTTGAAGAGCAGCCGATCTTCTTTCCAAACCGGCAGCGAGGACAGCGACATTAACGTCAAAAACAGCAATATGAAGAACAGACTTCCCATTCTATTTTGAATTCCTCCTTGGTTCGAGCCACTATGCCAGAAAATACCACCAACGCCCCATGCGACGACGAAAGATGAGATGAAGTGGACGTAAATCAAGAAAGGATGTCTGTACATCTGCCGCAAAAGGCGCCCACAAAGAAGCTTGACCTGCGTCTTGAACGTAGCGGTGTGCTTCTTTTCGATATCATCCGCATCGTCACCATCTATGGACATCAAAGTAGGAGAGACACTGCATCTCTGCGCGCATAGCTGCGTGTGGATTACCTTGTTTGACGCCGCTATGTCACTCTCCGCAAATGCCCGCACCATGCGCTTCACTTGCGATCGCGGACTCTTCAACACGACGTCCAGCATGTAGTCTGCGATATGTAGATCGGAAGACGACATACTCACGAACGACATCGAGTGGAAATGTGAACTAGCGAGCGCAGACGGCCCGGAGTAGACCACGTTACCGTCGGAACTCAAAACCAACACGCGGTCCAGAAGACGGAAAATGTCCGGACGAGGCTGGTGGATACTCAACAGCACCGTCGTCCCCATCGCGCCAAGTCCTGATAGGATGTCCACGACCTTCGCCGCGTTCGTACTATCGAGCCCAGTCGTAGGCTCATCCAAGAACATGATACCGGGACTCATCAGAAGCTCTGTCGCAATACTGACTCTGCGCTTTTCCCCACCAGAAATGCCGCGTTGAAACTGATCGCCAATGAATGAGTCAGCGAGCTTCTCGATCCCGAGAATCTGCATGGTAGCTCGCACACGCTTGCGAATCGTGCTCGCCCTGGTTTCGCGCGGAAGACGCAGTTTCGCGTGAAACATTAAGTGCTCGTAAACTGTCGCCGTTCCCGGCAGAACGTCTTCGGCGATGACGTAACCGCTCGCGGCCCGAATTTCTTCGATCGATGCGAGTTTTCCGTTAATGTACACGCTTCCGGTACTATTGTAGAGCTTCGACGAAAGTCGGCCGGAGAGCCTATCCAAAAGAGTCGTCTTTCCAGCTCCAGAGGGGCCCATGAGCGCGCACATACCGCCGCGATCGTCATCCGTTCGCCCCGCCATGCCAGAAACATCATTCAAAATGCTCTTGCGCATACCCTTGACTTCTACGCACATACCACGCCAAATTAACACAGACGATGGCCCAACTCGCGGCTGCATCGTCGACTCAAACCGTCTAACAGCTTGTACTGCGCCGCCAACGACGTCTTCGCCGTCGTCGTCGTCGTTGACATCGACGGGTCCATCAAAGTATCGTAGATCCGCTTCTACTCTGATGTACGACCAAGCGGCGCCGACCAGGACGACTACTATCAAAAACATAACTGCACGCGTTATCATGTCGCCGGTCCAGTACACGGGAGGATCAAAGTGTATCGGACATGAGCCGTCTGAACCGTCGGCGACCATCTCGTAAACACAGCTACCAGTGCTACATGTCAACGCCAACGTCGGAATCACCCCGCTTTGGGTCCAGTAACACACATTCGTGCCGTCGGCGCGGGTCATGTTGGTACCACACCAAAACTTCATTCCGCGATCGCTCGGGGTCACCAAGGGATTACACGGATGCTGCCAGTACTTTTCCTTGGTGCCCGGAATGTATCCGCATCCAAATACGTTTCGCCCGGGACACGGCTCGATATCACTCGGCGGGCAAGACACCTCTCCCGCGCCGCACTCGTACACCGCGCATGTTTCCGTGGAAGGGAGCGGCTCCAGACACGACGTGATCGTTAGCGAACACTGCGTGAAATTTGCGTCCCAGACCGCCGGCGCTGCGTACTTGTACTTGTCTGGGTGGTCTGGAGCCTGATCTTGTCTCGGCATCCCTGCGTACTCGCGTGCCATCACCGCGTACTTTGCCCGTCCTCCCAAACCACTTTCGATCACGCGCATCTCGATCGTTGTGTTCGCCTGATACTTACAGTACGCGTCCGTCTGCGCGTCGCCGCCGCACGCGCACGAAAACACCTTCCCGACCGGCGCTGCCCCAACCTCCCCGATCGGCCTCAACTCCTCCGCCGTCGGTGTCCAGCATCTCGACGTACACGCACTCGCCCGCCGTATCGCTCCGTCCACTCGTCGAGCATCGCACGTCGCTCGCTGTTCGCACACGTCGCACTTCGCTCCGCGCCAACCGTTCGGACATCCTCTCTCGACGTCCCCATCGATCGCGCACGACGCACAGTTCTCCGGATGCGGCGACGACACCGTCGTAGCGATCGTTCCGTGCGCGCACGGCGGGTCGTTCGTCGCCAGCGCGTTCGCGCACTGCGCTTTAGAGCGAGCGATTGAATCTGAAGATGCCCGTACGAATTCTGTGTGCATCGCGCTGAATGCGCACAGCACGGCGACGAGGGCGGTACTTCGCGCGTGCGCATCGCGACGACGCATTGTGGCGTCGACCAGAGCGATGTACGCGCGCGATGCGGTTCGGGACGCGAAAGAATGCGGTGAGCGCGCGCGGACGCGGATTTGTACAGATTACAGGCTGCGGGCGGCCCGAGCGCTCGACCACTAATCAAAGTTACAGCCCTTGACGCACGGTGCGGAACACGCGGAACGCTCGACCATGACTACGGGTTCGGAGATCATATATGCCCTCGCTTGGCCGCCGCCGTCGGGCATGACCCACATCGGGAGCTCGATCGAAGTCACGTCGTGCGACTTCGCGTCCTTCGCTCGCACCCACTTGTATTTCGGCTCGCTCCCTGGTTTACCGCCAACGTATTTGCGGTGGCTCGATTCTATCGTCGCGCTTTCGAATGGCGCTAATACATCTTTGCGAAATGAATCGATGGAGCCGAACGCGGACTTGATCGCGCTATTCAGCGCGGCGTTCGCTGTGGAGTAGAGCTCCGCATCACGCGTCGTTACGTTTTTTATCGTTTTCTCGAGCGCCTCCTTATCAACCGAGTGGACGGATTTACCCGCGTTCGAGTACACGTATCGAAGGTTCTCTATTCCCGCGACCTTGCCAACGACAAGTAAGAACTCGTTGAACCGATCGGTCGTGCCCACGACGTCGAATGCGTCGAACATTTTCATGACGCGCGACCACTCCTCGTCGCTCACGACGAGGCAGTCCTCCGCCCAAGTGTGACCTTCATCGAAAGGTGCCACTCGCAGGGAGTGCACGCACTGTTCCTTCCACAAGAGCTCTCGCGTTTGTAGGTCAGGCTTCACCGCTGCCCAATCGTGCACGCTCCTTCCCCAGGTGTTCTTCGTCGAGTTCCCGCTCAATTCCTTCGCCCGCTCCTCTTCCTGTGAGTGTCGGACGTAATAATCGTAGTAACTCGCGTATTGGTCCACCGGTCGCCGCACCAGGTACGAGGATGTCACCGAGCACGTTTCTTTAAACTCCTCACGCAATATCTTCAAGTCTTCCATCACCACGCGCTCGAAATTCGCCGCGCTCCAGCTCGACGGATGATGCCCGCGCACCTCGACGAGCGCTCTCGGCGGCGTCTCCCGCTCACCCTCCGCGCTCCCTTTCGCTGCCTCCCTCCACGCCTCTCTGAACGTCGTCCACTCCTCCTCCGTCGCGCCGTACGGTATCGGCGCCTCCCAAGTCCCCAAAACCGTCTGCCGATCGAATAAGAACCGCATCGTAGTCCCGCCCGTCTTGCTGACGTGCCGAAACACGTGCAACGCGCACGAAGCGCTCCTCGAGCGTTCGTCTCGCCTCGTCTCGCTCGTCGACGCCGCGTCGGCCACCGTCGATTCAATGGATACGCTCGGTCTCACTACGTCCACGCGTGCGTCGCGCTCGACGTCGGCGTCGCGCTCGACGTGCCCGTCGTCGGAAATCACTCGAGCACTCGTCAAAGATTGCACACTCCTCTCCGTTCGAACCTCTTCGTCGATGTCGAAGGCGCGGATGAGATCGACGCGTCTACCGCTGGCGACGACGACGAGGACGATGAGAACGATGGCGGCAGCGAGGCGGAACGCGCAGTTCCATGCCGCACCGACGCTCATTCTGGGTGGACGCGAAGTGAGGCGCGTAGTCGCGAAGCGGGGCAGAGTTGGGGTGAAGTCGACGACGGACGTTACAACGAGACGCTAATCGCTCCATTCGGAGTCGGAGTCTTCTCGGGCGTTGGATAGGTCTAGTTGCTCGGCGAGCGCGGCGTTGAGAGCGCCGAGACCTTTGTTTGGCGGCGGCGGCGGCGTTTTTCTTGGCGGCGACATCGATCGCGTCGGCGGCGCAAGCGGAGGCTTGCCGATCGCGGGCGACGGCGATCGCGGCGGTGGTGGCGGTGGTGGCGGCGGAGATGGTGGCGGCGGGGGCGAGGGAGAGGGCGGCAGAGACGGTTCCGAATCGGAAACGACGGATGACGGGGCCGAAGAGAACGACGCTTTAGCTTTCGTTTTGCGCAGCGATACACCGGCTTGAATAGAAGCCATGAGCATGGACCTTGGATCGTCACTGGGCGGCGGAGGCGGATGGGAGGGCGGTGAACGAACACCTCCGGTTGTTGTTGGTGGTGGCGGTGGTGGCGGCGGTGGTGGTGGCGGTGGTGGTGGCGGTGGCGGTGGCGGTGGTGGTGGAGTAGTGCTCGCCGCACGAGCCGATGCCAACGTTACTGGTGGCATCGCCATCGGCGCCGAACTCCCGGGACGTGGTGGCACTGGCCGTCCTTCCGCCAAAGCTTGTCGTACCGTTGCCTTCCACTCCTTGTAAATGGCTCGCTCTGCCTTTTCGGCCCGTCGTCTCGCGCGATCTGCCCGACGCTCCTCGCGCTCAAGACGCTCGCGCTCTTTCGTCGTAAGCGGCCTTGAAGGCGTCTCCGCCGCGAGATCAGCGGCTTGCCAAAGCGCGTCTTGATCTCCGTTAATGCCATGGAGCGGTCTAGCATCGGACGAACCGTCCTCGTCACGCAGGAGCATTTCCCACATCTCTGCCTCCGTTCTCGCCAAGTCAGCGTTCGCCCTCGCAAACGCACGCAGACCGCTTGTCATCGCACCTCCAGTCAGACGGTGGAACCTCGGGAGTTCCTCGCGCATACGCTCAACGATGACGTCGTAGCGCTCCTTCGCTTCCCTCATCAACGTCTCTGAGGCAAGACAGTCCGGATCGACAGTCGCCAAAGCTCTCCCTTTCTGACGAACCACTTCGTCATATCGATCGCTCATGATTTCGTAGTGTAGCAAAGCCTCCGCACGATCTTCGAACGTCTCGCGAACGGCGTCGAGCACGCGCAATGTGTCTTTTAACTGACGTTTGAGTTCCTTCATGTGATCGACGACTTGCAGCTCGTGCGCCTCCGTTCCAGTCAGCGCGTCGGTGCAATCGGCGAACGCACCTAGCACTGTGCCGAGCGATGTGCACTTGCTTCGCCGCGCTAAAGGTCGACCCCATCCCGACTCACACTCTCCCATCGCTCTCGCGCTCCTTCCTAGCTCTAACAGCCGAGTAGCGTTGACGCGCTGTTCTAACTGTTTCATATACTCCCTGGCGCTCGCGCGAAATCCTAATATCTGCTCCTCAATCTTCCTAGTGTACTCTACCACCTGTAAGTACTGCGGATCCTCGTCCTTCATCACGCTCGCGATCGTCCGCGTGCTCCCGAACATTTTCCCGAACCAAGACGCCTCGACTGAGTTCGGCGACGCGTTCGCCCCCAACATCCGTTTCGACATCGCGTCGTCGAACGCCCCCCTGTCCCCTTCCGTCAGGAACAACAACAACGCCGTAGAGTTATACAATATCGGATGGTCCCCGCACCGTGTCAAGAACGACGCGCAGTGCTTCCGTCTTCGCTCGCACGTCTCTCCCGCCAAGTCCAACGTTCTGGCTCCTTCGCCCTCGAGTTCCGGTGCTTTCGCCAACGGTGGCACCACCACCCCCGGATGCGACTCCCTCAGACGCTTCCGCAACGTCACAAAGTCGCCGTACCGCCGTTTGACTTCGAACGTCGCGCATCCGTCGCGCAACTCGCTTCGACACTGTAACACGTACTCTCTCGCCAGCGCGCGCGTTCGAACGCTGAACGCGACGCTCGGGCCGTGCGGGCTGTCGTTCGCGCGCGATGGATCGCACACGTGCACCTTGACTGACCCGGGGCGGTGCTTGTCCCTCCGAGACGACGCGCGCGTGGACGCGACGCTCGGAGGCATCAAGGCAGAGTTGAATTGTGGAGTAGGAATTGTGGAGCAAGGCGTGCGCGCGCTTTCCAGAGCTAGTCGCGCTTGGTTGAGAGAATACCGGCGAAGGTGTCGTTCGGGATGTCGACGTTACCGATGCGACGCATTCGACGTTTACCCTCCTTTTGTTTCTCTAAGAGCTTCTTCTTGCGAGTGATGTCGCCGCCGTAACACTTGGAGGTGACCTGCTTGCGAAACGCTCGGATGTCCTCTCGAGCGATGATCTTCGAGCCAAGCGAGGCTTGGATGGCGATTTCGTACAGCTGACGCGGGAGGGCGTCCTTGAGACGGGCGACGATGTCTTTCCCATGCCTCTGCGCCTTGGTTCGATGTACGAGCGTCGCGAGGGCGTCGACGATGACGCCGTTGACGAGAACGTCCATGCGCACGATGTCGCTCTTACGCATGCCGGCTTCTTCGTAGTCAAACGTTGCGTAGCCGCTCGAACGACTCTTGAGCTCGTCGGCGAAGTCGGCGGCGACTTCGCCAAGGGGGAGCTTGTAACGTAAGATCACTCGTGAATCATCCAGAAAGCTTTGCTCCAGTTGCTCTCCTCTGCGATCTGCACACAGTTCTAAAATTGTCCCGACTACGTTTGAGGGGCAGATGATCGTCGCCTCCACAAGCGGCTCCTCAATCTCCGTGGACTTCGAAGGGAATCCACCGGATGGCACCGAAAGCGGTGACGTGCAGTCGATGTACGTATCATCGCTTTGGTGTTTGATGCGATAAGGCACGGTCGGCGCGGTGGCTATGATTTCCGCACCGAATTCCTCTTGCAAACGTTGATGGAACACGTCTGCGTGCAACAAACCGAGGAATCCACATCTAAATCCCGCGCCGAGGGCAGAGCTATTCTCCGCCTGTGCGGTGACGCTCGCGTCGTTAAGCGTCAACTTACTTACCGCCGCTCTGAGCTTTTCGAAATCGTCCGAGTTCACCGGGAACAAGCCTTGAAAAACCATCGGTTTCGCCGGGCGAAATCCAGCCAGCGGCTCGATTGTCGTCAGACCCCTCATGTGCAAAGTGTCACCAACCTTGGACGAACGCACGTCCCGTACGTTCGTTATCATATAACCCACCTGTCCCGCGCTCAACACGTTCGTCGCTATGGGCGTCGGCGTGTTAAAACCGAGTTCTAACACCTCAAAGTGCTGACCAGAGGCGAGCGACGTTATTTTATCGCCCTTGTGCAAGACGCCGTCGACGACTTGCACGAGATTCACCGCGCCTCTAAAATCATCGTACCGGCAGTCTAATAGCAACGCGCGAAGTGACCCGTCGGGATTACCTCGTGGCGGCGGCACGCGCTGCACCACCGCGCTCAGAACTTTCTCTGCGTTTAGTCCTGTCTTACCAGACACCTCCAAGACTTCGTCCCGCTCTACGCCGAACACACGCACCATCTGATTCGCCACCCGCTCCACGTCCGCGCTCGACATGTCCACCTTGTTTGCCGCCGGGATAATCACTAAATTCCGATCGAGCGCGAGATAAAAGGTCGCGATAGTCTGCGCTTCCACGCCCTGCGTCGCGTCCACTAACAGCACGGCGCCGTCGCATGCGCTCAGCGACCGCGCGACTTCGAACGAGAAATCCGCGTGTCCCGGCGTGTCGATTAGATTCAGTAAGTACTCCTCCCCATCGCTCTCGTCTCGGTGCAGAATGCTCACCGCCTGCGCCTTCACCGTGATCCCTCGTCGGCGCTCCACGGGAAGCGTGTCCAACACCTGTTCGTTTCGCGCGCCGCCGCTCGCACGCCTAATCGCCCCTGTGAGCTCCAACAAGCGATCGGCCAGCGTAGACTTTCCGTGATCAACGTGAGCGATGATTGAGAAGTTCCGCGTGCGCTCGAGCGGTACGGCGGTCAGACGATCGGCAGTCGGTGCGTCGTCGGCGTTTTTCAACGGAACGCTCGAGTGGTATCGAAAGAAAGACAAAGTCGAGCGAAACCTCTGTGAGAGAGCCGTTGTCGATGCATTGGATGACGCGCTGAGAGCGGTGGCATTACGACAGAGCTCTTTGAGAACTCGACGCATCGCGTGTGGATCACGTGCGTGAGATCTAGGACGTTCGCATCGCTGTTTCGTCGGGTTGTGAGGAGCAGAACGTTGCAACGCGTCGCGTCGCGTCGCGTCGCGTCGCAGCGCGGTCGCTTGGATGAATAATTAATTAATCATTGCAGCGATTCTAGTCTTCGTCGTCGACGTCATCACGCACGAATGATAAGCCTTATTGTTGGCCCATCATGCCGCTGACGTCTTGCGGGAACAACTGCGCGAGCTTCTCAAACGTCTTCATGATCTCTGGGTCATTTTGGTACTTGGTAATGTTCATGGGGTTCGTGGAACAATCCATGACGGCGGCTTGAATCTTTGGGTTTTGGAAAGCCTGCGCAAGGTCCGGGTCTTGCATAATCTTCGTCAGCACGTCCTCCGGCTTCATGCCCATTTGCGCAAATTGCTCTTGCACTTCCGGGGAGTTGATGTCCGGCATACCCATGCCGCCGCCCGGGGAGCCCATGCCGCCAGCCTTCATCTGCTTCATGATGCCCTTGAGCTGATCCTTGTACTGCGGGTTGGAGAGCAACATCTCGAACGTTTGTTCGTTGCGCATGAACTCTGGGAGGTATGGGTACATGAGCTTTTGCATCTCCGGATTCCGAAGCATGTCCTGCATGTAAGCCATGTCCTGCTCGCTGACGTCATCGTCTTCACCGCCGGTAGCAGTCGACTCATCAGCTTCAGCGTCGTCGAAGAATGGGTTCGTCGACGTCATCGTCGGTTCGACCACCGGGATCTCTTGGTCGGCGAAGGCGGAGAACTCAGACTTGACGGTTTCGCTCGGTTCCTCTGTCGGCTTCGTAGCCGCCGCGCTGCCTCGTCCGGAGGACGTTGGCGCCGCCGCCGTCGCCGGCTTCGCCGCCGCCGGCTTCACTGCCGCCGGTTTCGGCGCGCTCGGCTTCACGTCCACAGGCGGCTGCGCACCGAACGGGGGCATCCCACCCGGCGGCGTACCCGGCATGCCTGGCATGCCCGGCATGCCCGGCATCCCACCCGGCATCCCGCCCGGCATCCCCCCGCCCGTCATCGACTTCATCATCTGTTGCATCATCATCGTCTGCATGTCCTGCTTCTTCGCCCCGAAGATCTTTCCTCCAGCCGTCCCGAGGACGACGCCCAGGCCGACCCACATCCACGCCGGGACGTCGGACCCGCTCGTCTTCACCGGCGGCGGCGGCGGCGGGGCGTAGTACGAGTACTGCTGCGTCGGGATCCCATTCGGGGGCGGGTACATCGTCGGCGGCATCGACATCGCGCGCACCGGGACCTCGTTCACCGTCGTTCCTTGGTTCGTCGTCGCGCCCTGGGTCTCGCCCTGATTCGTCCCATCCGCGCGCGCGATGGCCCGCGCCCGTCGTCCGTGCGTCTTTCCCGACCACCTCGGCCGCGCCGTGGGTGGCGCGTGCGTCACCGCGTGCGCGCGCATGATTCACGCGCGAGGCGTCGCGCCGTGCGGTCGCGCGGCGTCCGTCGACGCGGTCGACGCGATCGCGGCGCGCCCCGACACCCGGGCGTGTGGGAGAAGGGTTTAGGGCATGATCGATGTCGCTTTCTATGGTTCAAACATCCCTACAGTATGGAGACTGTGATGCCCCTGTCCCACGCGCGAGGATTCGTCCCCTCGACGTCGTTCGTCGAACCGCGCGTCACCGCGCGCGGTGGTGCTCGTCGACGTCGGCGTCGTCGGCGGCGTCGATCGCGGCGAGAAGGCGCGCGGAGCGCGCGCGCGCGAACGTCGACGCGACGTGAAGTCGACGGCGTGCGGTGTGGGAAAACTGAATCGGCATTGGAATTCAACGTCGAGGATATCTGCGCGCCGCACGCTCGCGCGTCGACGTGTTCGAGGCGCTACGAGCGCGCGCGTCGACCGTGAGATTTTGTATACGCGTGATCGCGTGCGATGACGATCGGTACGCCGAGTTCGCTCGGCAACGACGATCGCGCGGCGCTGTTGATTCAGGCTGCCTATCGGCGGCACGCCGATCGTAAAGACGCGTCACGACGGGCGACGACGAACGCGTTGGAGACTTTGGAGGAGCACGATGAGGCGAAGATAAATGCTCGGGCGCAGTTGATGGCGAAGATGGACAGCAGGCTCAAGGTTGGGCTCAAGGCGAAGTTCGCGCGAGGGATGCAACGGCTGAAGATGGCGACGATGTTTGGAAAGTTAAAAGTCAGCGGTGAAGGGGATGACGCGCAGACGCGAGAGGACATTCCGCCGCTCCCATCGCTTACGGATAGTGCCTTGGACGACATCATCGATTCGTTGCGAAAGGGAAACAAGTTTTCGTTAATCGACGCCATGGCTATCCTTAAGGCGGCGACCGTTACGTTCTGCACGCAACCGAGCGTCACCGAGGTGCAAGCCGAGAAGGACGGGGTCGTTGTCGTCGTAGGTGATTTGCATGGACAGCTTCACGATTTACTATTCATCTTCAAAGAACGAGGACTTCCGTCAGAGCAGGTAAAGTACGTCTTCAACGGCGACTTTGTCGATCGAGGAAATCATGGGTGCGAAATTGCGCTTCTCCTCTTCGCCCTAAAGCTGTCCCGTCCGAATTACATCTTCCTCAATAGAGGAAATCACGAGGAAGCTTTCATAAATATTTATAGTGGGTTCGAAGAAGAGTGCCTCGCGAAGTACGATCACAAGGTGTTTCAGTTGTTTCAGAATTGCTTTGATTGGATGTCGTACGCATGCGTTGTGAATGGTAGCGCCTTCGTCATTCACGGTGGACCCCCGAGCGACGTCGGGGCGAAAGTGCAAGATATTAAGTCACTTCCACGCGGCCCAGAGGCGACACGTGCGGAGGTGGACTCGAAACGAGCGGCGTGGTACAAAGATATGGTGTGGAGCGATCCACATCCAGAGACATCCTTCGTCGGCTGCGTTCACTCTCATCGAGGGGCTGGCGTACTATGGGGTAAGGACATCACTGAGCGTTTCCTGGAGGTGAACAAACTCAACTTGATAATTCGCTCGCATCAGTGCGTCGCCGGTGGCGTTGAGACATGCCACGGTGGCAAGGTGTTTACGTTGTTTTCAGCGTCTCGATATTGCGGAACAGGCGAGAACAAGGGCGCGATTTTAGCGTTTGCGCACGGAGACAAAGTGCCACAACCGCAGAACGCACTGGTGTGGAGCATTCCAGAGGGAGAGGGAATGCTCGGTTACGAACGAATCAGGTCCGAACGCAAGGGCAAAGATGCGATGAACGACGCGCTCGCGACGCAAGCTGGCGAGTATATCATCGAGCACAGGTCCGATTTGCAACGTCACTGGTCCATCGTGGCGACGAAAAAGAAACGACCCGAGCTCATCAATCTCTTCGAGTGGGCCGACGGCTTATCGAAGGTCTTAAAAATCAAAATGATGTGGTCTAAGGTGTTCGACAAGCTCGTCAAAAAAGAGCACATCGAGTTGAATGGAGGCAAACGGTACGTCAGGTGGCGAAATTTCTTGGCGGATTACTCGGTGCAACTCAAGGGTGGCTGTAAGGTATGGCAAGATGATGTTGTTAGTAGAATTACATCCGCCGTTCTCGAGTCTGGGGAGGATCTGGTATCGGCGTTCAAAAGCATGGACATCGATAACTCTGGTACCATTAGCCAGTCTGAGTTTACTATGGCGGTGAGGGCAAGCATTCCGTCTCTGGCAATCCTATCTGAGGCGCAACTAGTTGCGGTCTGGAGCGCGTTCGACGCGGATCAGTCGGGATCCGTTGATTTAGATGAGTTTAAGGCTATGCTTTCGAACTCCATGTCGTCCAATTCAGGAGACGGTGTGGTCGGCGTTCGATGGAGCACGAAAAAATTCTCTGCGAACGAATCATGCGAAGAGAGAGAGCAAATGCAACCCTTAGTTCCTTGGGAGGAAAACCTCAGCGAGGCATTCGGAAGATTATTCTACTCCCATCGAAAGGAGTTGTTCCACATTTGGCACTCGCACTTCGATCCGGACGAGTCCAAGTCGATCGAGAAGGAGGACTTCAAGGAATTGCTACGCGCACTCGATGAGTCCACGGGCAAGCATTTGTTAAACGAGGAGTCGCTTACGAAGCTCGCCGACGGCATGGATCTCGACGGCGACGGTCGCATCGATTTCAAGGAATTCTGTAGCAATATTGGTCGGATGTCTTCGAATTATTGACGTCAACTTACTGGTTACTTTCGCGCGTTTGTAAAAATAAAACACGGTTGTGTCACGGTTGCAAGTGCTCGCGAAGAGTGTAATTTCACGATGTGCTCAGAGAAACCACATTGCTATAACGTTATCAACGTTGCGGGCCGAAAGATTCATAGTTCATTCGTGCCGCAAACCGTCCAGTTTCCGACGTTCCACACACGTCGCCTTGCGAGATGGGCCCGATCGCCACGCGCGCGGTGACGCTTACGGCAATACCGACGCAAATACACGCGCGTCAACATCGCGCCATCTCGCGCACTCGCGCGTCGCCCTTCGCCGGAACCGATTTGCCAGGAGGCGGCCAGGAACTCGTCGAGTACGCGAGCACTGGAAACTTAAAGAAACTCACCGATCTTCTCGACGGTCCGTACACCATGACACCGACCGACGCGTCTGGAAAGGCCGTGCGCGTGGCGCAGCTGCGTACGGCGGCGCAGCGCGCGATGACGACGGGGCACGTCGCGTGCTTAAAGGCTTTGCTCGCACACGGGGACTCACACGGTCTGGACTACGGGTTCAACGCCGCGAACGGGCGTTTGTGCGCCGTCGAAGCCGCGGGCGCGGGACGTGCAGACGTCTTGCGCGTTCTCTTCGAGAACGCACGTCTTGGGACGGAGGTGGTGAACGGATACGGACGCACGGCGCTTCTGGAGGCGGCGTTGAACGGACACGAGGATTGTGTGCTCGTTTGTTTGGAGTTCGGCGCCGACGTAAACTTTAGAACGAAGAATCAGGGAAACACGGCCGCACACTTGGCCGCGCAGCAGGGCAGCATCGTAGTATTGAACGTGCTCCGAGAGGCGGGCGCGAATATGGACGCTGAACGCTTCGGCGACTTCAAGACACCCTTGGCACTTCACAGGGAACACGTTCAGAAGCAGATGAAGGCATTCGCGCGATAGAAATAGTTGCTACGGTAGGTTTAGTTATTACTATGTACAATAGTCGTCGCCATTGCTGGACCTCCTCAAACGCCATGTCTCGAACCGTCGTCTTACAATCCACCGGAGCCGAAATCAATCAAGCCCAGGTAATCGTCCTTGATCGTTGCGATGCAGAAAATGTCGTTGGCATCGATGCGCATGCCGACGATGCGCACACGAACCGACGCGTCGCGCTGGATTCTAATCTGCTGGTCGTCGCTAACGTAGCAGTTTTCCCCAGAGCTATCGAACTGCATGTCCTCGGTGATCAACGCGTTCGAGACGAACAACTGCAGTGGTCCGGCCTCGGCGAAGAACCCAAACTTGTTTACCTGCGTCACGACGGCGTCTACGACCTCGCCCTTGAACGGGCGGAACACAACGCAATCATACTTGACGTGAAACTTCGCCCTCGCCGTGCCGTCGTCCACCACCACGCCCTCACTCACGTCATCGACGCGCGTTACCATGACGATGAATCCGTATCGTCCCGAGCACGTGCCCTCGACCTGGGTGTTCGTGAACGCGTCAGTCGGCGTCAGTCTCGAGCTCTCTCTGCGCGTCTTCGCGATCGTCTTAGGGTTGTGCCGAGTCCCGATCGTCTCTCCGTCCCTCCCCCCGCGCGTCGCTCAAGTCACCCACCTCGTGTCGTAGCTTCTCTTCCAACACTGCGCGCATTCGCGCCCCGAAGTGTCGAGGCTCGAGCGTGATGTTACGCTCGAGGTTCACGTGGAAGAACATTCCGACTGCGCTCGACGGATCTCTCGCTCGATCTGTTGCGCGCGCTCGTCGACGGTCGAGCTCGTGCCCGCTCGATGCGCGTCGTGCGTGCCTCGCTGTCGTTCCCGATCGATGGCGCGCGCGTTGACTTCACCGGCGTGCGAAAGGCGCGTCGACGAGTGGAGTGAGTGTCGGGCTGGACGCGCACAGGCGCTGGAGCGACGCGAGACGTGGGCTTTTGGTGTTACGACGCGTGCGCTTATTTATCGGTTACGGGCGTGCGTTTGTTATTCAATAAATATCGATCGAGTTATTCCTTTTTTCCCGCGAACGTACTCCACATGTTCCTGACCGCGCTGGACTCTTTCTCCACGTAGGAGTCCTCCTCGTGTTCCTCTCCTGGCATTTCTTGAGCAGTCTTTGAGAACGATTGCTCTTGCTCGAATCTCCGCGCCTCGGGGAAAAGATTAACGTATTCTGGATTATCGTGCACGCGATACGAAGGCAAGCCGGAGAGGATTCCGTCCACGGACTCGTCGTTCTTGTACATGTTATCGCGAACGGTGGTGAAGTTGTGGAACATCACATCCGCACTCCAGTCAGACTCGAGGCATCGAGCGCAACCGAGCACGTACAGCATGGTTCTTCCCAAACCACTCAGAAACGACTTGATCAAGTGATAAGCAACATATATCAAGAGAGGAATCAGCTGGATCAGTCCGTTGACGCGGTAGAAGCGTTCTTCGAAATCCAATTGCGCGTATCTCGTCATGTTCGCTCGAATCGACCAGAAGTCGGCTTCGTTCTGAGATTGGAGGCTCTCGTCCCACCCATCGAGAGATTCGAGAAAGTAAGACGGGACGTCCCACTGCGAAAATACCCACGCCGCAAACGCAAAGTGCGCCAGACATGCGTAAGGGAAGTAAAACAGGAACTGCTGCGCCAAAGTGTGGGAGTACAGTGCCGGGAAGCGGCAGTATCTCAGAATCAGCGTCTTGTCGGACCAGTAGGAGAGTAAGCAATATAGCGCCGCCACGGGGATGAGAATCGGAGCAGCGGCAAAGAGCACGACGGTGGAAAATATGACAGTCATCATCTGCCCGTATCGCTCAGCTAGCGTGAACTTTGGTCTCGCGTACAATCCATTCAATTTTTGCTGCGTCTTGCACCACTTAGACGTAGTGTATCGAGAAAATTGCTGAACCCAAGCCCCGACGAGTCGCCAAGGACCGAAGTAGCAGGCGTTGATGAAAGCGGAAATCATTATGGACCTCATGACAAGAGCATACCAATCGAGGGTGACGTCCTGATGACTACCTCTGAAAAGGATGGGGAAGTTTTCCAAGCCTTCAATGTCAATGTTCACGAGCAACGGCAGGATCAAAACGTTCGTCAGTAGGGTGTAGAAGGCGTACCTACTCGTCGCTCGTTCCGTGGCAGAAACAGTCTTGAAGCGAGCAAAGAGCGCAAATTTAGCTGACGCCCACAGTAAAGTGATCGAAGTGAGAGCCGTAATTGTGAGACGACCAACTTCGAAAAGTATTATGACGACTTGATCGTAGTAGTAGTCTCGACAGACGTCCGACACTGACCCCGAAAGCGCAGCGGATTGGCACATGCAATCGTAGCAGACCTTCGCCGCACATTCGTCCGCGGTCGTCGTCGAATCCAGACCACCGTTCCACTTGTCGTCCATATATCCAGCGGTTCGAGCTTGTTCAGTAGTCAGTGAAGATGAGTATATTGCCGCGGAGTATGGAGAATATTGAGTCATATCATAAGACCAAACTGCGGACTCGACGTACTTGTGGCAATCGGAGGAGTCGATCTGTGATCTGAAGTTCTCGTTTGAGATGACTCTGAGATCGGCTGACGAAAGGTCCTTGTCGAGGTCCCAGATGGCCGGACAGTACAAGTTTTTGTTCCCATTTAATGTGTAGAGTCCGTTGCAGCTAACGACAAGTTGTGCCCCAGCCTTTGACCAGGTCGTCGTCAGTACGACAAGAACAATGGCGCCGACGAGGAGAGTGATGATGCCAAGCGCCGCGGTCGAGCGCCGAATCAAGTAATTCTTCCACGAAACATTTGTCATATTTTCCCACAGGATATCGGACGCTTCGCCGGCTTGTTTCACTTTGAGGTAGTGATACGTCATGCTTTCCTGGCCGTTTTCTGAGATCGTCTTTTCAACGCGAAACATTGTGCGCTCAGTTCTAAAGCAGTTGAAGTAGGCGAAATATTCATCCCGGCATGCAAGCTTGTCGGTTTCTTGCTCAAAAGTAACGAAGGCAGTGACGACATCGAACGCATCAAACGGCATTTGAGCTGTTTTGTCAATCTTTTCTTTCAAATCCATGATGGCGTCACGAATTTTATAAAACTCCTTCCATTTACGGTTGAAGCTACGATTTTCTTCGAGTGACTCTCCCTTCTTGCGGAGATTGTGCCTCATTGCGCTTAGCTCTGCTTTCAAAATTTCAGCTTTTTTAAAGAGACGAGCCCGCGCCATGCGCATTCGTAGCAGTCTACCGAACGCACGCACGATGACCACATCCGCCACAGGACCAAATTCTTCGAAATGCTCACGGACCTCTTCTTCAGTAGCGTTGTTCGGTAGCCCATCGACCTGCAACGAGTAGTCGGAGAGAGTGAGCAGCGCTTCGTCGACTCGGATGACGAACGCGCGAATACTGCGAGCGAGACCCGAGCCCACCGCCATGAAGCACAGGACGATGAAAACATCCAGACAAGAAAGAAAAGCCATAATTGTTCGAATGTCAACGCCGTAAACGCTCGCATACGTACTCACTGCGGTCATACCGAGCGTTGTCTTTATCTCGGGATCGATGTCGACCGTGTTTGTTTTCGCAAGGTGCACGTAGTGCGCTATGAAGACTGAGGCCAGGCACGACAGAACGAAGAAGACGATGCCTAGTCTTTTCAGCTGAGCAAACCACAGACCAATCCCCGGTCCTAGAACATCCATGTCGCTTTTAGTGGTGCTCCAAACCGGCAGTTGCTTGTGATCTTTGTCGAGAACCGCAGATTCAAGATTCTCCAACCGGGCGATGTGTCGTCTTGGCCGTTTATACGCAGGGAGTTTATCGCTCATGACGGCTAGAAAGTACGAATCTTCCACCACGTCTTGCTTCTCGCTCAAGTCCGCATTTGGGTTCCTGATGGGCGCACCGGCCGAATTCGTCGGTGCGTTCATGGAGTTGATCCTGCTCTTCATTCTCGTCAGCTGCGTCGGCTCGCCGCCTCTGTAAGGAACGTTTGCGCCTTCTTCTTCGTCGTTGTCGGTAGACGCACCTTCACTCTTCTCCGCCGCCTTTGCCATCTCAGAATCTTCGTCAAACGCCACGTCACACTCGTTGTTCTCGAGGCGTCTGCGCATCGTCGCCGTCCAAGTGTACTCCGGTACGGTTTCGGCTTCGCGATGCTCCGTGAATGCCGGGTCCTCCTCCTCCTCATCGCTCGCCACCGCCTCCTCTTCCACTCGCTTCGCGAGTATCTTCTGCATCCGTTTACTTTTTGTCTTGGACAACGCATCGACGCGAACCGCGTTCTCGTCCAACTTGGTCGCCGTCGTGTCCATGTTCCGCTCGCGCTTTGTCGGCGCGCGCTCCAGCGCCTCCGCCGGCGCCGCGCTCGCGTTCGCCTCCTCGTTCGCGCGCGCGTTCTCGTTCCCTCGGATCACCGTGGCCACGCGCGAGAGCGCTCGCACGAGCCCACCCGCGAGCGGGACGGGCGCATCCGTCCCGTCGGCGTCGTCCGCCATCGTCCTCGCGCGCTGGCACCGCGCGTGCGCTGGCACCGATTCAACGTCCGCGCGCGACGAACGACGCGTCGACGCGCGCGCGACGAAGGCGGCGTCGACGCGCGCGAACGACGCGAGCGATGCGCGCTGGCGTCGATGGGTGACGCGCGAGCGGGGCGCGGGGCGGTGTGCCGGTGGCGCGCGATGGATGGATGGATGGATGATACGCCCGCGGGAACTCGGGTGTGATGGTTGTCTTCTGTTACAGGTGTCGCGCGCTCAGGCGGCGTTTTGTTCCCACGGAGCCTCGCCGAGGGCGTAGCCGCCGGCGCGGAAACTTCGGAGGTAGTCCAACACGTAGCCGTTCTCGATATCGTTCGGGTCGATTCCGAGATCGGAGAACCCCAAGGTATCGGGAGCCTTGACGTAGTCGCGGCTCTGGGCGTCGATGTACGAGCGCGTGAGGCCGACCGGGGTGGGCATGGGGAACGGAACCTTGCGAAGGAGAAACTCATGCGGGCACGACAGCGCCCGCATGATGAAGCTCGGGATGTACGCCGTCGAGCGTCGCGAACGAGCGGTTCTGAGGACGAGCTTTGCGAGGTCGTGCACGGTGTAAACCTTCTTGCCCGCGAGCTCGTACGTGCGTCCGCTCGTCAACTCGTCGTGAACAATCTGCCTGATTGCCACGGCGACGTCGTCGACGAATACCGGTTGGTGCTGCGTGTCACCACCGTCGATGATCGGAACCATCGGGTACTTGCGAGAGTGCTCGGCGAATACGTTTAAGAACCTGTCCTCGACGCCGACCATCTTCGCCGGACGCACGACGGTGGCGGACGGGAACGCCTCGCGCACCGCCGCTTCGCCCTGCGCCTTGGTTCTGAAGTATGCGCTCGGGTGATCATCTGCCGCTCCGAGCGCGCTGACGTGAATCAACCGACGCACGCCGACATCGGCGCAGATCTCCGCCAATTTCTTCGGGAACGTCACGTGGACGTCCTCGAAGGAAAAGTTACGCGTCTCCCACTCTCTCCCGACCATGTTAATGACCACGTTACTTCGCTCCACTGCGTGTCGAATCGCCCCCTCATCGCTGATCGCGTAATCCATTTGCAAGATCTGACCGAGATCGCCCATCACCTTCAAGTGCTGTCGATCGTTCTCACCGCAACGCGTCGGCAGAATCATCCGCGACCCGCTCTTCGCCACGTGGTGCGTGACGTATCGACCCAAAAAACCAGTCGACCCGAACACCGTGCACGTGATCCCGCTGTTACGACGACACAAAGAACCCACATCGTCAGTCTCTCGCCCTCGATCGTCGTCATCGTCGTCATCGTCGTCATCGTCGACGTCGCGCTCCGTCGTCTCGCCGCCGCGCTCAAACCTATCGCCGCCGTCTCTCTCCTCGCGCGTCGTCACCATCGCCTCCACGCGCCCGCGCGTGCGTCATCCGCGCGCGCGTCCAGATCTTACCTAAACGACGACCGTCCACCCGTTCCGCTCGCTCCCGCGGTGACGGGCGGCGGCGGGACTTTAAATTCCTTCGCCGCGCTCGCCATCGACCGATGCGTCGTCGCGCCCGTCGTCGCGCGTCGCTCCGTCTGCGCGGTCGCGGCGACGGATCGCGCGCGACCGAGGACGACGTCCGCGAGTCGCGTCGACGCGCGACGGGCGCGCGCGAGGGACATCGCGCGCGTGCGGACGCGCGAGCGACTGTGGATCACACCCGATCGAGACCGAGTGGGGTGCACGCGCACCCGCGGACGCGCCGAGACCGTCGAGCGCTCTGAAGGACGCGCCGAGGCGACGGCGGGGACGACGTCGAGCGAATGAAAAGATGAAGATGAATGAAAACAATGCGTCGATGACGCGCGCGCGAGGGCGCGCCTAGCGACACGCGACGACGGCGTCCAACGCGCGTTTTACGCTCGCGGCGAACGCGGCGCGGTCCTCCTCGGGGATCGATACCGCGCGCGCGTCGAGCGCCGCGGCGAGGGATTCACACGCCAACGTCGCCACGCGTGTGAGCGCGATCTCCGGCGTCGCGTCGACGCCGTCTCGACCGCCGCGCGCGCCCGAAGAGGCGTTCGCCCCCGCGCGC